CACAGGTCTAACGTTGAGGAGCGCTCGCGCGGTACTGAGCTCAGACGGCCGCTGCATCTTATTTTGTAGTGATTTTGCGTTTACATTTATCGTATTTATTGAAATAATATAATAAATTTATGCTTTAAAATTATAATAACTTTGTTCCTTATGAAAAAGTCATTAATCTGGCATAAATTTTGTTAAATAATATTGTTGTGGCTAAGAGAAATTCAAAGTTAACTTCAAGCAATTTTTGATGTTTTTTGGTTTGTAATATAATTGTTTTTCTATATTTAATCAGTGCTATTTCAAAATTTCGAGCTACTGTTTACTTTACGACTATATAAGAGATATCATTCTATTTCTTTTATTTCGTTTGTTAAGAACAGTAGCTCAATCCAGGACTTCAAAAAAGTGTCTTTGCGCATTTTATGAAAAACTTTCTCTGGTATTTTGGATTTAATTAAAAAGATGAGCAAAATTTCCAAAAAGTTGAGCCACTAATTTCTATACCAAGAGTTATTCTTCACTATTCAACAAGTGAAAATTGTTAATTTGTTTTTGTTTCCGAGAAAAATCACGCAGAAATCACAGTTGCGATGTAATATGGCTCTTAAGCGTAAATAGCGTAAATATACACAAAAAATAAATTGATGAAATAGAATAAGTATGTATATTTTTGTAGATATACATTTTAGTTATGAACTTAATCAAAACTGAATGTGTGTGTTGTGTGTGGTTAAAGATGTAAACTAATTTTCACTTAGAACAAGGCATAGCTATCTAGGAAACGCCTAATATTACGCCTAAACAGATATAGTTTAATTCCAAATGAATATTTTTTATATCCTTTGAAATATTTATGACATATCATATACGCAAACGCCTAGCGCAAGACGCCGCATAACTAAAATATCATAAACTTTAGATATTGCTTAATTTCATTCGGTGGTGGTTTAATGGTGAAATGCATTTCTACTTAGGCGATTCCTAAATATTTAGGCGACTCCTATGTTAAGTGAAAACGGGCAATAATAATGTGTATTTCTCGTCACGCTCCACAAAGTCTAGTAATGTGGTGACGGCACAATTGCGTCACGCAACACCTTAAGCGTAGCATTAGCTTATCATTTACGCAGGCCGTGTTAAATGGAAGGTCAAACAAGGATTTTGTATAATTAGGTCACAGATAGGGTTACCATAATTCATGAATTATCGTGAGACTTCAATTGACGAATGATTATCTGTTTTTATTATCCAGTTATGGTAATATTATAAAGGGGAAAGATTAGATTTTTTTTTTGTAACGAATAGGCTCAGAAAAAACTGGACTGACTTTAATAATGCTATCATATGCGGTTGACATAGGATATAATGTACGCGGGCAAAGTCGCATCATTCATTAAGTATTCAGGATTAGGAAATTTCGGGAATTCCTACAATAATGTAATTTTTTAGACACATAAAAATATTTAAAACCAACACGTCTATAAATGGCAATAAATTAACTTCGGTCATGTTGATTATACAAATAAAATTAAGAAAAATAAATACATAAACAAAATAACGCTCTGTAGCAGTGAAGAAGTAACAATGCTTGAAAAATTCGTCACTCCTGTTAGGTCTTCGGCAGCTCAGTGGTTTGAAGAGTCGCAAGGATTGCGGAAGGTCACTGGTTCGAGTCCCATCTCAGAGTGCCAGGTACAAAGTGCATTTTAAACATTTGTCACTAAGAATATTTTTCAGTGTAACCAATCACTTCAAAATCAATACTTTTCTTTTTCGGTGATTTTTGATAGGAAAACGGATTTAATTGCGCGGTTAAAAATTCAATTTGGTAACCCTAGGAGAGCTATAAAACAGGTGTACGTAAATCCTAACTTAAACGCTTTATAATTAGCGGTGGTACTCGCTTGATGATACAGAAGTAGTATTGTGTTAGGCCGTAACGAATTTTAAGTGAGCGTGAATTGAACCTTAATTAGATACTTTTAGTGACTGAAATAGAATGTATTATTATTAAATAAAATTATATGAAAAACAGTCTGCTTTTCAATGTGTTTTTTTTTAAAGAATAGATTGCGTATATACGTCATATGTTTGTAAACGCTTTTGCTTGTAATTTTGCATAAATACACCCGAAAATTAATTAAATATAAAAATAAGTTCAGATTCTAAATCCCGACTACAGCTATATCACGCTCTAAAAAGTATGAAATAAGAAATTTATTTTATATTTATAGCTATATAATAGCGATCCTATCGAGGTCATGGCCCATCCTCCTTAAACATCAATAAGGAAAACCTGGGGGCCAATTCTAGTAAATAAATTTTGTTTAAATCGAATCGAAAACGGATCGAAACCGAACGAAACTACAGTTTTTAATGGTTTTTCTATACTATTAAGTGACACACAATACAATTCCAGCTAAAATAGAATTGGAATTGTATCGTATGTGACTTTGTAGAATAGGAAAACCATTAAAAACTGTAGTTTCATTCGGTTTCGATCCGTTTTTGATTCGATTTAAACAAAATTTATTTAGTAGAATTGGCCCCCTGAGCCTTACAGGGTGGACTTAAAAAGGGCTCACAATGAGATGAAAGCTTCACCCTAAATCCTTTAAGGTAATAAAAGAATGACGCGTAAATTTTTTTTTATCATTTGAAAGTTAAATATTATTTCCAATAACCATGCTGCTTTTTGGTGCACAGAAGCAAAACCCATGTGGCCGTTGAATATTTTTTCGCCGATCAATTCGATTATCATGTGTGTATGGGTACGCAGATAACGCAAAAAAATTACAAGGTGGACCAGTTTTTATAAGGCACGTTTCACCTTCAAACCATTGTAACATTCAATGTGATGGTGCCTTTTCTGTTGATCTCTCTAAACTTAAGTTTCTAATGTTATTTTAGACTTGTTTTAATTATTATTCGACCTCTGGAGCAGAATGATTCACAAACTGGTTTCAAGTTGTCCTTGCCATATCTGAGGTCCCGATTTTAGGGTTTGATTCCTGGTCGGGTGAATGTAGAAAATGAACTTTACAATATTGTCTCGGGTCTGAGTATTGTGTTATCTTTGTTGTCTCTACTCCATTATATGGGGGCTTATAGATACTCATCTTGGAATCTGAGCAATGTATGTGCCATTGAATATTTATTTAGTAATCACATAAAATCAAAGATTGTATTACAATAGCTTCATGTTTTATTCTATAAATATTTCAAAATCATCTCAATTTGTCCATACTAACAAACACAATTGCATGTTAAATACAGAGAAATCACAAACAAATATGTAGTATATGCAAAGAAAGTAATATAAGCAAAACTTTAAACTTTATATTCGTAGGCAACATATTTTCTAGCATTTTGTAGCATAGCCACAATTTATAGACCATATATGCAAAACGAGTTAAATAACAATATAAAAATATGTTTTTCACGATAATAATTCAATGACGTCAATTTTACATATTAAATCACATTTTTCGTAACTTAAAAATAATATTTAATTTATACAAAGCTAAAACATTAATAAATGGCCTTGTTTGAGTTTCAAACAGATAAATTGCGTAGTTATGGGAAACATTTGAGCAAACACTACGAATGCAAAGTTCCAATTGGAATTTTGCAAGGTTTGTTTCTTATGAACATACAGAATTTGTGTTAGCAGGTCAGTTTTTTATTATTATCATTAGTATTTAAATAACAAAAGGGTCATCAAAAATTATATCGCACTTCAAGTGGGCAGGAGAGGGATGATGTAGCATGACAAGGGTTGAAAGAGGTCTTAAATATTGTATCACATTTTTTCAATAGGTACATATGTACAGGGGGGCTGAAATGTGACTAGGGGTGAGATAGGGGTACCTACCTCACCCCTAGCACACCACCTACCTGAGTTTAAAGCTAATGTGAGTGTAGGATATAAGACAGAATTTTCATAACAATTCCAATTTTAGATTTGCCGAGCAGATTCTATGCTTCTTAAACAAGTACTATTTTGATTACACATAACCTTATCATGTTACTGACCATGTGAAGTGGGTATAGTGAGTCTACTATGACACTATGAAATAGGCTCTAGTCATACAGCCTGTCTCCATACATGTTACTTTCATAGTATATTGTTTAACAAGCTACATTGAACATATATATTTATGGACATTTGCAATAATATTCATTAAGGTTTAATGATCACTTTTATCTCTACTGGATGTTCTATATTTGAATTTTTTTATCAGTAATTTTGTTTTAAACAATGACAATAGACAATTATGCAACTGTGTATGAGTAATGTAAAATCTTTATATCCTATGTACCTTTTATTATCTTTTTTATCTTATGTACCTAATATCTCCATTGTGAATGTCTTTACAGAAATAGGCAGTCTATAAAATGGCTATTTCATACATCATTATACTTTGCTATCAAGATATGCCCTAAAAAGTTATCTCTACAATTAATTGTGTTCTAATTACAAAACAAACTTTGTACTTAACTGCTGACTGATAAAAAAGTCTATTGGTAGCAATATTTCAGTAGCTGTAAATTGATTCATAATTTAATCCATAAATCTTATGACTAATTTTGCTTTAAAGAATGAAACTTTCTTTTTAGTAATTATATACTTTCATGCAGAATTATCTATGATAATTGGTCACAGTTAAATTATTTAAAAATAGTCATATATCACTGAAGGCAGTAAATTATAATGAATACATAAGGCGTAAAAAGCGACATGTCAAAACTTATAAGGCAATGAGAACGAGAAAAACGGAACTTTCTAGTAAAATATGCTAGCGAGATTTCACTAAAGTTGACAAAGATAAAGGCAACGCTCAACTATGCAAATTTCGAGAATTCAACTTTGGAATTTCGCCATAAAGAAGACACTGGCTGACCTCAAAACTAGTAACAATAAGGTTATGTCAGAAAACCACTTTTTAATCATAGTAATCGAACAAAGAGGTTAGTAAACATTACAAAAATCACAGTTTCACACTCACCCGGATGCTTCCGTGGTGGTTTTTGGATAAAAAACCTCCTTATATGTGGGATTTTCTTTTTACAACTCACACGAACAAAATTACTAATCACTGACAGATTACCGATTGTTCATATTCCAAGATGGCGGAACAGCGCCGAAAAACGGCCGAAATTACGTCATCCAGGCGGGAAAATTGAAATTGTGATTTCCCAAAAATAAAAAAGGTCTTAATATTAAATCTAAATATTAAATAGATAAAGAAAACACTTACCTCATAAAAAGGGTAGATGTGATATATCTTAAAATATTTTATGAGTCTTTTTAATACATTTGAAAATTCAAATTCACTCCGATTCCGTACGCTGCTGACCGATTGATGTTGCGTCAGAAATCAACGATCCTTTCGCACACATTTCAATATATAGAATCATTACTCAGTAAAGACACTATTTATCTACTTTCTTTATTACTTTTCAAAATTAAAGCACTATTGAAACGACACACAAACTGTTTCTAACTAGGTAGCTTTCTATATGTTATTCCAGTAAGAACGGGAACGCTGCGTCCTTTAGATCGAGGACAAAGAAATAACAGTTACTATGTGAATTAAAATAGAAGCTCCACATATAATTAATTTAACTGATCAAAGATAACAAAACCGTGATTCTATGAAAAACAACAATTAACGATCTTTTTTTAAAAAACACATAAAACAAAAAACTATCATCGGAGGTAACAAAATAAGAGACTGAACGATTTGATTGAAGTTGTTTTTGTTTCCTTCGTTCGCTCGCGTAGTAAACAAAGAACCAGTGTTGCCACACTATCCGTGGATTCTACTATGATGCGGAACATGAAATCAATCACGTCCGCACTGCGTAAAGTGAAACTGGAACTTTTATAGTAATCTGACTTTGAAAGTGTTATTATTTAGCCCTAAGATTATTCTATGATATTAATTTATCTTAAAAGAAGGTATTAATAGAAATAATAATTAAACTCGCTTGACGGTTGTTTTTCTATACGAACATTAAACTAGTATAATATTTTTAAGCTCTCGATAACAATAATGTTTTATTGTGAATAACTAATGTCATATTTATTTAACATAATAAATACTGTTATCATTTTATGGTTATATTTCTTCGGCAAGTGAAATGCCAAATATTATTATCTTGCATTCGTTTCAAATTTATCTTCTTACTAATAGGGGCAATATTGAATATATTATATTTCCGATTCTATTTGGAAAACCAATAGTCTAAAATTATGTTAAATACATTTACCCATTAAGAAACTTTCCTCTTCAAATAACTTATATTCTCGCCTGTCATAGAAATAGAAGACAAGTATACCTACTTTTGAACGCAATCACGATCGAACGTACTCTTGATTTGGCACACTAGCGGTACTTGGCTCAGTATTGCGTGGTTATTGAGTGAACTAATTAACATTGAGTAAATAAATTAAGTCTATTTTTTTAGAGGAGTTCGAGCTAAGATCTGATAAAAATTAAGATCGTTAACGGATTGGATTGAAATTGCATTCAAATTTGTTTGTTCTATTATAAGAAAGCAATAAAGTATTTTTCATTCTTTCAGTCAGTTATTGCTGGTCAAACGAAAATAAACAAAACTCTATTATAGTGAAAGCACTCATATCGTAATGACACTTTTAAAAAAATATAAAATAATAAAAAAGTAAATCATTTAAGAGAAAATTTACGAAATGCTTTTTTTTTTGTTTTTAGTCTTCTATTAACAAAGGTGTACAGGATATTCGGAGGCAGCATAAAGTTTCATGAAGTTACAGTACCATTACGAAATGATAAAATGTAATATTTTTTGATATTTCTTTATTTACAGTAAATACCACACATTATGATAACGTATAAACAACGAAACCGTTTTACAACATAATGAATAGTGAATTAAAGTCAATCGTATTTAAAACAAGATTGATTTATTTTATACGTAAAATAATCATTCATACAATTTACTAAACTATTTTCGAATAAAACAATATACGCTTATACATCGTGCAGAAAAAGTTAAAAGTTTTAAAATAATATTTATAAATTACTACTGAAATACTTGAGACAAAATTAAAACAAGACCATTAAAATTATAGATGTTATAGTTTCTTTATTGAACGAATCTTACGTTCATACTTAATAGTAATGAAACGAGTTTCCGGAAATTCTGTTTTATAAATGGAAACTCATAGCACCAATCATCTAATAAATGTACCACAAAAACAATAACAGGCACACAAATATATATCAGTACTAAAACAACTAATAAGAAATATCTATTTACCAAAAAGTTTTTTAATTACCAAAAAACTTGGATAAAAATGACAACGTAAAATTAAAATACAATAATCTTTTAAAATAAAAAAAATCTACCAAAATGGAAGTATTAAAAAAAACTAACAACACTGCATTATGGCGCGATATTCAAATTCCATGATGGCAATACAGATACATGTTCAGACTACTGAAATAAATAAAAAATCAATAGAATTTAAGGCTCCGTTTACCACTTTTAAACTGTTACATTATTGTAGAATAAATATTTATCATATTACATTACGGATAGCAATTGATTAATAATAGCTTTTTTTATGTGATGTATATTAGCGAAGGGATTTTATTTGTAATCAAGAATTTATATGTTTTCATATATGAGTAGTCTTGCATACTAATATCATAAGTTCTTATGTACATTATTTCATAGGTATATGCTTTTTATTAATTAAATGTATTTTTAAGCATTATTATATACATTTTTCACTTCTATTCCATATTAACTTTAAATGTAGCAAATTTTATATTCCTGCTCGCAATATTCATAAAAAGAGGTCCAATGTTTTAAGTAGCTTTTTTAAATAAAATTTAACGACAGTGAATTCAATACTAAAATATTTTAACAATTCCGACTTTATAAAATATTTTAAAAATCCACATTGGGCCACAAGAGGGTCATGGCCCTACTTAACCATCCATGATGAAGGCCTGAGCCGCTGCAGTGAGGGCATAAAAGGGCTGGTGATGATGGTAGTTAAGTCCTTTAACTTTCCTTTATAGTGCTATACTATGAAGGTATCGAGTACGAAAACGATGTATTAGAAAACTTAATTATTAGACGGTTTCGGTTTGAAAAAACTGTCAATCGACATTTGTTTAAAATTATCCGGAGACTTCTCTGTTTTCACATATTTTCTCTTAATAGGTGTAACATCTTTTTCAGGCTTTTCAATCAACTCTTTACTGGAGTCAACGGAGTATTTTAAAATATACTGTTTCAAATTTTTTGGTTGTTGTGATTGCATAATTTTCAATCTAAACTTCTCCTTCTTAAGACTTATTTTCACTTTCATCTTATTGTTGGTTATAGACAATTTAGTTTTAGATTTCTTCCTTTTCTTAAGTTTTCTATCTTTCGCCGTTTCATATTCTACCACCATCTCAGCTTTCTTCCTGCGTTTCGACAATGATTTTTTACTTTTCAACTTCCTCTTCCTATTTTCTTCGGCTGCGTCCACAGCAAAACCTATGGCCGTTCTCAACTTAGGTGAGACATTAGATGACTCATGTTTATGATTGAAATTGCATTTGAAATCTCTGTCCACTTCGTTCAAATATTGACTTTTAAAACTTTCAATATCTATATCCGTTTGATCGTTATTCGGTTTCATTTTCGGACTGAATTTTAATATGAAATTTTTATTTTTCTCCGGCGTTTTGAGGTTTATATCGGGTAATTTCGTATCGTTTTCGACATTTTCTATTTGAACTAGATCTATATTAATGACGTCATTGTTCTTAAATATTTCCATACTGGAATCTTTTTGTATATCAACCGTTTTAGTTTTCTTCGGCGTTTCAAAGTATTGGGCACTTTCATCGCTATTATGATCTGCTATGAACTCTGAAGGTAATACAAATGTGCTATTCGATGAATCGTCTATTTCTATAGTTTCCTCTTTTTCTTCGGTGACATTACCTTCTGTTTCTTCAAGTTCGATAGATTCTTCTATTACTTCTTCTTTGATTAAGTCTTCTATACACTGTTGTTGATTCTAGAAGTTTAAAGAATAAATGTTTAGAATTGTCAGTCTTATATGAGGTGGAAAATTATAACATGCCGGGACTTTGTGTGGATGAATTAAGTATACTGATGAGCTATCAAAGGGTTCCTGATTATTAAGATTTAGCCTGATACAAATACGAGAAAAACGGAAATAATTCGATATAAGCCTGGAATATTTTTAATCGAGTTTGTGAGCCAATTACAAGAGACTATATTTAAGAATCCATCTCATTTTAGTTACGGAAGGTATAAAACAAAACATCAAGTTAAAAAACCTTCATTTCCTTCACGCAAAATTACTAACACGACCTTTTTCACAACTTTTGCTTTTATTTATCATAGCGGCAATGAAATTTACTGAAATCCATCTAAAAAATTTACAGGAAATAGTTTATTTTTTTAAACTTTATTTTTAACTTTTTTTTTAGTGGTTTATTATGATAAAACTTTAAAGTATTTCTGAGTGGATTTTAATGACTTTTAGTAGTGTTTATCTCATAAGTCTGCTGCATATATTGCGTGTTATATTTTTGCTGCATAAATAATTATAAGGCTATTGGTATGCAATATTCCCATGGAAATTTTCATTGGATTCAAAACAAAATATACTTAACGCAATATAATTATATCGATTGAAGTCGTATTTCATTGTTAATATTATCGATTTTTTTACAAATATTTTTTTAAATATTTATTGTCCGTGTTATATGATTTCGCTTTTTGAAATACGACTATTACATTATTAATATTATTGATTTTTTTACAAATATTTTTTTAAATATTTATTGTCCGTGTTATATAAAAATATGAGATTCCAAATATAATTTTAGGAAGATTTATGTATTTCATGGAAGTAACATAAGTAACAGCGTGAAAATACATAGAAGTCACTTTATATGTATTTTGCTTATCATGCCATTGAAAAATTAAAGGATTTTTTTTTTTTACTAATAATCCGAAAGAAAATGTCGTTGGATTAATTCATATATTAAAAAGGAAATATATGATACCCTCATAATAAAAAAAAAACAGCTGTTATGTTTTAATGTTTGATCTCCATACTGAAAGTTGGTATTTGTATCAGACTAATTGTAGAGGCCGCCGATTGTATCAATAAATGCTACTAATATGTCATGTAAATTAATTACTGTGGTAAATACAATGAAAAAGTATTTAAATATATAAAAACTAACCTCGTTTGTTTGTTCATCATTATTCTCCTTTTTAGGGGAGTTCCATTCCTTTACAGGCTCTTTGGTTTTCCTTTTCTCCTTGTTTATGTTATTGAGAATGTCTTCCAGAATGTCACTAGAAATGATATAATCAATTTTATTTATATAATTAAATGTACATACATATTATCATAACCCCACTGCTGGGGCTCAAGCCCTATGGATCCAATCAATTCGAGTATAGTGAATGGGCCACAACGCGGGCCCATTGCGGAACGGTGGGTGTTCACGACTGGGAAACATAATATAATATAAATATAAATATCAATAACATCACATACATCGCTCAGATTCCAAGATAAGTAGCTAAAGCCCCCGTATTATGGAATATCTGAGACAACGTAGGTACCACAACACCCAGACCCGAGACAATATAGAAAAAGTTCATTTTCTACATTGACCAGACCGGGAACGAACCAGGGACCTCAGAGATGGCGACACCTTAAAACCGGCGTGCGAACCACTCGGCAACGGAGGTCGTCCTCGGCCATGGAGGAGGGATAATAAATTTTCGGTCACCCATCCTAAGACTGGTCATTAAGAAAATTGCTTAACAACCGTATCGCAGAACGGGCGCGGTGGCCGCTGTGGCATCGACATTTACATACATATAAGTAAAGGTAAATCAACATTGGTATGGGATAGTCATGGGATGGGACCGAAAAGTGCTAATATCAATATCTGACGTCGTTAACACCCACCGATCCGCACTGGGCCTGTTGGGTGGGTTATTGCCCATTCCATATACAGCAGTGATTCTTAATTGTCATTGGAAGCATCCAAAGTGGTCTGCGGGACCTTACGAAATTATTACAATATATTAAAATAAAATAAAAAAAAGTATAGTTTTTAGTAATTATTTACAAGTTCTTATAATTTAATCCACCATCATCATCAAATTTCGGGGTTCCGTCCCTTGCGTAGAAAGAAAATGGTCACTAATTTATGACCACTAATCGGAGTAGACTATTTGGGTTCATTGACCGCAATTTGACATTGATGTTAATATGGATATTCCACGGGATCAAAAATGATACTGCGGGATTATAATGAATTTAATTATTTTTATCAATAATTCTACAAAAAATAGTTTATGTAAAGGAATAAACGTACGAGCAACGTGTAAATTATACATCAGCAACACTTTGATAATTTAGTTAAAAATAAAGCCTAATTTAAGTTGACACATTGAATGCTGGAAAAGCTGATTTTCTGGCCAAATTGTTATATTTCTTTAAAATTTGATTTAGTTTGCTAAAATTACTTTCTATAGTTTCTTTAATTTTAATATTATATAGGTAGCTTTAACACGATTGAGAAATATATCACGCGATATCACGTGATTGGCATTCGACGTGTTAACTCGGATCATACATATACCTATAGTAAATTATTTTTTAAACGTGTTGGTCACGTTAATGAAGATTTTGTTGTATAAATACAAATAGTTTGTTCTATTCGATCATATTTCGATTTGTTGAGTAACAAACAATTTGTATGGTAATATGTATCTTTAATTACTCTCTAAGGCGTGAATAGTTGTTTATTTTTAATTTTCAACATAACCGTCAAATCCCTGGATTCGGGGAATATCCATATTATTCTAACATATGGCAATTACACAAATTACCTCTACCTACTCCGATCTATGTTTAAGACTAAAATATTAGGAACCATTGAGAAGGTGACCCAAGAGTGATGATATTAGGGTGATGACAAATGTATTTTAATACTTACTCGACTATCTTCTTCTTCTTGCTCAGAGGTCTTGGCTTCCCCACTTTTTCTTTCAGTCGCTCCAACAAACTTTCATCCAGAGCATTCTCCGTATCACCGCACAGATTCTTCTCTGCCAATTTCGTTTCTAGAAGTTTCCTCGGTGATAATAAATTTTCTATGGATTTCATCTGCTCAACACTTTCAGATTTCATTATTGACTTTCTTGGTGTTTTTAAATTCAATTCCTCTCTTGATATTATAGTATTGGTGATGTTTTCTGAAATTAAATGTACAGTAAGATACAATATGTATGATGACTAATTTTTATTTATTTGTCCGTCCGGTTGACTAATATTAAATAATATTAAAAACGTATTTTTTATTTTTTGGTTGAAATGTCGCACGACGTCACCTTATATTATCTACGTAGTTGTGACGTAGCGAGACGCCACTCCTCAACTTTAATGATTATTATCTAAGCCATTACTTGTTTAAATTGAAGAAATAAAAATGCGTATCTAATATTTTTCTTTCATCTGACTGACGGATGTTCTTTTACTTAGATACAAATTTCCTAAAACCATTTATTAATTTAATTATTCAATAAAAATAATGAATCATATTATCGTCAGCTCTACCGCGTTACAGAAGCTTTGATTGATCTGTCATGCCATCAAATGACCTGTCAGATTAACAGTTAATCTGTCAAGTTGACCGTACCCCTGCCAAGCCAACCATATAATAGGGATGATGACTAATTTTTGTTTGTTTGTCCGTCAGGTAGAATGTTAAAAAATATTAATCACGTATTTTTTTTATTTTTTTCGTAATAATAAAATTACGGCGTTACATTGAGTTGAAATTTCGCATGACGTCACGTTATGGTACGTTTTCTACTCAACTGTGACGTAGCGAGCCCCCACTCCTCAACTTTAATGCCTGTTATCTATACTATTTCTTGTTAAATTGAAGTAAAAAAAAATACGTATCTAATATTTTTCTATTATCTGACTGACGGACTAAATAGAATTGCATTTTTTTTACCCAGTCATCATCCCTATTGTCTATTGAAATTTTGCCTATTGAAAGGGGCTGTTGAGATCGCTTCCCGAAAGTTTAAGCTGGAGCCATACTGCACAGTCTTCCAGGCCGAGCTGTATGCCATCCTCCAAGCAACAGAGTGCATGATGAATAAAGAATGGAAGGATGCGGCGGTACTCAGCGATTCGAGATCCGCCTTACAGTCGCTACAGGATCCGGACTCTTCGCACCCAATCACGAAGGCGATTCAAGGCAACCTGGTACAACTTAGGGAACTAGGCCAAAGGGTCTCCCTATTTTGGATCAGGGCCCACGTCGGCGTGATTGGGAACGAGAGGGCGGACGAGCTGGCGAAGGGGGCGGCTCTCGGATTGAAGTGCAAACCGCACTATGATGGCTGCCCCAAGTGTCAAAAGGCATTTACGCAATTTGACAAAGGTAGAATGGGATAGCCGTTATAAGAGCGAAAACACCGCCGCCACTACGAAGGTCTTTTTCCCTAGCGGGGAAAGGGCCTTCGGAGTGGTAAGAAAGATGAAGATAGACAGGTGGGCTGCACAACTGCTAACGGGGCATGGAGGGTTTAAGTCCTACCTCCATGATTATAAACGTAAGGATACCTACCCCATTTTGTGAGTGCGACCCCCAAGCAAAACAAGACGTGTTCCACGTCCTACTAGAATGTCCAATATTCGGAAACGACAGGCACACTTTACAAAATCACTTAAACACAAAACTTAGCAAGGAAAATTTGGAAACAATAGTGGCAGAGAATAAAGAAAGGGAGAAATTTATGAGACATGCTTGTATTATAATTGAAAAGGTTGCAAAGAGAAATAAAGACTAAATAAATGACAAATGCAAACAACAAAGAAATGTAAAATTAGAATTAAGAAGTAGGCAATCAATATTGTATTGTATAAAATAAATAGAGAGTAATTATAAAGGAAAAACAAAATGTAAATAAGATATATAAGAATGTAAATTAGATATAAGAAGAATGTAAATAACAAATGAAAACATGTAAATAGCAAATAAGGAAAATGTACTAGAATATAAGAATAAGCAAAAAGAGGGAAAAAGAGCATTCCCCAAAGACCAAACAGGCATAAACCTGGAAACATAAAAAAAACGAAAAAAGAAAAGCATGAAAACATAAAAAAGCTAAAAAGACAGCCTGCTAAACAGTGGGGGAAACTGCAATAAAAAAAAAAAATAAAAAAAAAAAACCATATAATTGTCAAGTTGACCGTACCCCTGTCAAGCTAACCATATAATTGTCAAGTTGACCGTACCCCTGCCAAGCTAACCATATAATTGTCAAGTTGACCGTACCCCTGCCAAGCTAACCATATAATTGTCAAGTTGACCGTACCCCTGCCAAGCTAACCATATAATTGTCAAGTTGACCGTACCCCTGCCAAGCTAACCATATAATTGTCAAGTTGACCGTACCCCTGCCAAGCTAACCATATAATTGTCAAGTTGACCGTACCCCTGCCAAGCTAACCATATAATTGTCAAGTTGACCATACCCCTGTCAAGCTAACCATATAAATGTCAAGTTGACCGTACCCCTGTCAAGCTAACCATATAATTGTCAAGTTGACCGTACCCCTGTCAAGCTAACCATATAATTGTCAAGTTGACTGTACCCCTGTCAAGCTAACCACTGAACTGTCAAATTGATTGTTGACCTGTGAAACCGACCGTCGAATTGTGAAGCTACCAATTGATCTGTCAACCTGACAGATCAATCAGAGTTTGACAAGACTATAAAATGACATAAAACAGTCTACGTTAATATTACCTGGTATTTCAGTCTTGATATTAACAACGTTGTGATGATGTGACGAAGTAGATGCTCTATAAAAATATAGATACAAAACAAATCAATTAATTTAATCAATTAACAAATTTCAAGTAACTCGGTGGCGTGGATAAGCGCCGTGGTTCGCGATCGTTGTTGTTAAGCAACTTTCGCAAGGATCGGTAACGGGATGGGTGACCGAAAAATTGTTATCTCAAGCTACCCCGTGTATAGGATTTATTTGCAGTGGTTAATATCCTCCAATCCGCATTGGGCCCGCGTGGAGGTCCGTGGCCTATCCTCCTTAACCTTTCGTATGGAAGGTCTGAGCCCCTGCTGTGGGGACGTAACAGGACTGATGAAATGGGACTCGAACCCACGATCCCATCTCGGGATGCCCGGGGTTAGTGGATTTTTTAAGTATTTTTCATTAAAAAAGATATATCTTTCTTCTATCTAAACTAGCTTTTGCTGGGTCAGCTAAATCTATATTAATATTATAAAGAAGAAAGATCTGATTGTTTCAATTAAAAAAATATATTTATATGAGACGAAAACGCCCTGTCCGATGACGTCACAAGCTAGTAAATATGACTTCCTGTTAACGATTTTAGTATAATAGATTAGGTTTATTTACTAGCGTGTGACGTCATACGCGGCGTAATGGCGGCGCGGTTTCGGAATTTCTAACTATATCGATCTTTATGGCTAAATAAAGTAAATTTCCCCATAATATTAATGTAATGTATTTGTCATGTAATCAGTACATAGTATAAAACAAAGTCGCTTTCTCTGTCTCTATATCCGTATGTATGCTTAAATATTTAAAACTACGCAACGGATTTTGATGCGGTTTTTTTTCATAGATAGGGTGATTCAAAAGGAAGGTTTTTATGTATAATACAAGACTACGCTCGAAGCCGCTGGCGGAAAGCTAGTATTTGATAAAATATACTTACGAGTAAGCCATTCTTTGTTTAGTTCTCCTGAGGGACATACGGGACGGCATTATTGGGCCGGCACGGGAATTCTGTGCGTCAGTTTGCTCACCCACTATCACTAAAAAAAAACCCTATATTACTTCCACTATACTAAGCTGAGCTATGTATTATTGCACGATGGTCGGTTATGGGATGGGTGACCGATTTATTATCTATCCTCCGTGCATCAGAAGGCATGTTTAGCCGTTGGTATCAGTATCTGCAGTCGTTAACTCACATTAATACGCACTGGGTCCATTCTACCTATGGGGCCGTCCATTAATCACGTGAGACTTGGGGGGGGGGGAGAGAGGGGGGGTTCGTCAAAAATGCCGAAATATCATAACGGGGGGGGGGGGGGGGGGTGTAATAAATCACATATAATATTTATTTTCGCCTCAAACACGCGATTACTAAACCGAAAAGCAACGTCAAAAATTAAGTTTTTTTTTCTTGTGGGTACTAAAAATACACGCGATTTACGTGGAGGGATGGGGGGTGATCTTAATCTTCACCATGTCTCAGGGTGAGGGGGGTTAAAATCTGTTGAAGAAAACATCACGTGATTAATGAACGACCCCTATTCGATTCCATCTATAGAGAAGGCCTGAGCCCCAGAGAAGTGGGGATTTTAATAGCCTGGTTATATGAATAAGGTTATGTCCTCGGAAAATATGAACCATATTAACATAATATTATTAAAAAAAAATAAAAAAAATATTACACAAATTCAGATAATATTACACTATGAAAACTTGAAATAAGTAGAGGAAATATATTAGAAAAACTTGCAAAAATACAAATGGCATTAAATTTGTTACATAAAACGAAACAACTTTCATTATAACATCTATTAACGCACAAATAACAAAGATTGCCCAGACGCCCATACGTTTTTCGCTACAATACTAAACTGTGACGTCACATTTTAGTCTGCATTCGTAGGGACAAACAGCACCGTATCTCCTAAACTATTAATCGCAGACACACTGTCACTTCTACATTATTAATCAGATATTAACGGACTATTTATTTATAAAATAAATTTAAAAAAAAAATAACTATAGTCCATTTCACATAGGATAGGTACAGTGGCTAATCTATTAATTTTTAACTGATCTATTACTTTATTTCATGCAATTTGTATTTTCAAAAAAATATATACATATATTTTGAATATGAGTGTGAATGCCTTATATGTAGTCCAACTTTATTGATTTCTTCAGTTACTACAATGTTTTCTGCTTTATATATTTTTTTGATTCAATAAATAAGATTATTATAATATACAGTATAATAGACTCTCAAGTAATTATCAATTTAGGTGGATAATCAATTAACTTCGCTGACTCGAGTTAATTTTGTTGACGAATAAACATTATTATAAAAATCTTGTCTTTCAAAATAGATTATATCTATTACAAATTTATGTATTCAAATCCCACACGTAAACGTATACAGCGTGTTTGGTAATAAATATGGCACATACAGTATGATGAATAGAACCAAGAAAAATGATCACTAAGTCTCAAACCCAGCGCATGACCTAGATATTCAGCTTTTTTTCTTCGAAGTAAAACTGTACGCTGACAACCCTAAAAACAGCTGTTGTGTTGTATTTGGCCATCGACTCCATGTGCCGAACTAGTTTAAAAAATAACAGAATTTAATGATAAATGCCTGATAAAAAGATTGTATATCCCTATTATACATACCGGTTTCCAATTGAGCGGCCAACTTGTCTATATCTTCTGGTGCCAGCGGGGTACATATTGGACACAAGTAAGTCGCCCCCCCTCCACAACCCGCGTGCGCCCCCCCACTTCCACACAATACGCACACGCGGATGTCCCATATCCTACACCATAAAACAATTTTTTTTTTATAAATAAATAAAAGACAATGAAACTCCACACATACAACCCCATACAAAGCGTAGGTAATTAAATGAAAAAGAAAGGAAGATATTTCATTAATTTTGCATTCTTTGAATCCCATCTCAGAGTGCCAGAGACAAAAAGCCAGTTGCACAAACGTCCATTAAAATTGTCATTCAGTTAAAGCGACATTACCCATACAATTTTGACATTCTTAAAGGCGTTTTTTAAAACGCCTTTAAGAATGTCAAAATTGTCAAAAACCAAAAGTGGGTTTTTTAAAGCATTTTTCATTAATAATATTAATGGATTCCGATTGATTTTAAAATAAAATAATTAGGGTCTCAGATTACATTTAAACACGAGCCATAATATTCTAGTGTGTATGTTTTTATTTACTAGAGATGCGGCGAATATTCGTTTGGTATTCGGCACATTTTTCGCTTTTTGTATTCAGCCGAATTATTCGGTTTTCGTGCCGAATAAATTCGGCTCGAGTATTTCTATTTTCTGGGCCACACGACACGTTATAGTAATAAAAGAGTTATATTATAAGTCAAAGAAATCCTATGAAGCTAATAAAAATTAAGTAAATAAACTTCATTTGTTTTGAAACCTGTTTACGCGGAAAATCAGTAAATAGGTAAAATTTAAACCGAATAATATTCGGTATTCTGTTATTCGGTGAAATCACTATTCGGTGAACTCTAGTATTTACCCAGATTCAGAATCATGATTCCTTCCAAGCGGACAATTGCAGACTTCAACTGTACACGCTAGAGGGCGCTCGTAGATTTCAGCAAATGCGTTTTGTTCCAATTCCCACGCCGCATCCCTACAACAAAACACAGTTTAGCTATTCACTTGGAAAAGTTAAGCAACCTTCGCAATGGTTGGTCATAGGATGGGTGACCGAAAATTTCTTGTCAAGGTTCTACAAACTTCGGGAGGCACGTTAAATTTGCTGTCGTTAATGCCCGCCAATCCGCATTAGGCCCGCGTCATTCCGCGTCGTCATGGCCCATCTTCCTTAACCATTTGTAGGGAAGGCTTGAGCCACTGCAGATGGGATATTAAAAGGTTGATGGATATGATGTTAGTTTTGCCATGTTAGTTAATTTGTAACGGGCCTTGGATTTACGTATTTTTTTCTAAAGGGGCAGAAATCTTTTATCTTGTCACTAAATTTTGTTTATATTAATAATAATAGGGGTGTAGACAACTTTCTTTAAATATTTTTATTTTATAGAATATACATTAAATATATATCTAAAATAAATATAAATAATATATTAAGTTAAAATATAATAAATAAAATTAACTTCCAAATTTTCCCGCGACAACGCCATCTTCTGTCATGGCGTCGCTATGACGTCATAATCTCAAACTAATATCATACTATGTATGCATAAGGTTTAATTCTCTAAGTTCTGATATGTGTAAGAGGGTCGTGACGTCACGCGCTGTTCGCGGTCACGTGACAACGAGCATAAAATATTAGTTTTTTTTATAATTAATTTAAGTAATATTATAAAATAGCTTTAGTCCCTAGGGAACTATTTAGTGGGATAAAAATCCTATTATCTAAGTCAGCTAACACCCTATCTGTATACCAAATTTCATCAAAATCCGTTCAGTAGTTTCGGCGTGATTGACAGACAAACATCCAAACGAAGAAACTTTCACATTTATAATATTAACAGGGTTGTCAATTTTAAACCAATCGGGCTAACACTTTGCATGCATAAAGCTACTATAACGTAGGCATCCCTTAAGAAATGATTTTGATAAATTCCACCCCTAAAGGAATAAAATATGGGATGAAACTTTATTTCAGGCATTTTACACGATATAATGAATAAATATTCGTTAGAAATTCTGCTCAAAGTAACTTTACCACGCGGACCAAGTCGCGGGCAAAAGCTAGTTATAAACAGAGGTCGGAATTAGGTAGAGTTATTTATGTACCTGCATCGAAATGTTGATATTAATGTGGACCTTCCCGGGATTTCTAATGGACATTCCCGTGTGGCCAACAATCTTACAACTAAATAATAATAACAACGTCAGAGATAGACAAATAAAACAAAGATAATTAATATAAAATTTTTATTAGTTTACATTAATTTACAATACAAATTATTGATAGTCTTAAGCAAATTCTCATACGCATATTTCGCCTTTTTTATAAATACGAGCGAATACTTTTGCTTCTAGCCTAGACTCATAAAAAAAATATTAAAATTAATCTCGGGATTTGAGGCATATCCACTTTATTCTTTCGCTGTATGAAATCAGTGTAAGAACATGAATAACTCTATCTAATTCCGACCACTGATTATAAATATAATAACGAAGAAAGTGTGGTTATCGCTAATAGTATATTAAGCACAACCAGAAAAAAATAGTTATATGTATTTATTTTTGTTTACTGCCTAGACCCTTATTAACATGTAATTTAAGACTAAATTTGAACTCACCTATCAGGTACATAGTATCCTTGTTCCAGAACAGATTTATAAAAATTATCCTTGTCATTACACAATGGACATTTCAAATAATGCATACCAGCACTCAACACCATGCGCTGAAAAATAAATATATATATACATAAAAAAAAGTTGTTTGCCGCTGTCTGTACACTAATCTTTTAAACTAAACATCGGATATTAATGTTTTTATTTATTTGCTGATTTCATTTGGATAACTTAAAGCTGTAATACATGTATTTAACTACGAACTAATATTATACAAAGCCAGTTTTCACCAATAGTCAACCAATGAAAGATAACAATAATACTTATACTAATAATATATGTCGCATCATCTTTAGGAAGATCGTTTGATTTAGTTTCTTTTATTTTAGTTGCTAGTTTCTCGATTACTTAATTACTCGATTGTAGAGAGAGCGTGATCATCGATACTTTTAATTTTATTAGAATGGTGACACTGACTTTGACAGTTCGTTAATAAAAAGCAAGTTGCCGCCATTTTAGCACACATTCTGTTTCCGAACGCCGAGGAGTAAAGACATCCGACGACATCACGCTCATCTCGTTATATTTTTGTATGAAAAGTGATAAAATGGAACAAATCCACGTTGGTATACACGCCTGCAATGTTATTTTAAATATAGTCCCCCGATATGGACCATCTATTTGGGCTTCGTAAAAGCCCCTTCTGACTGCCCTCCGACATATATATAAAAGAAAGTCTCTTACCGCTGTCTGTACGCTAATCTTTTAAACTAATCAAAGAATATTACTATGGTTTATTTATTTCAATCTTATTTGTTTTTATTTTGATAACTTGCAGCTATAATACATGTATTAAACTACAAAATAATATAATACAAAGCCATTAACAAGTTTTCACCAATAGCCAACCAATGAAAGATATTGTAATACTTATAATAATAATATAAAATTCTTGCATAATATTTTCTTCATAGACATTTTTTAAATAAAATATGAGTTCGCCAATAAGCGTATCATAAGTAATGGTTTCACATTGAAAATACCCACATTAGGGAAAATCTTTTGACATTTTATTACCTTTAGTACTGGCTCTACAGACAAATTAATTTTTAATGCAGTTGGTCTTAAAGCTAGGGACATCAAATTATAATACTGACGTTTTTGCTTAAAAGAGTTATTCAAGATGAAGGTATAAACGTATAATACGGATCATATTTTATTTAATGAGGAAGTATTAAAAAAAAAAAGGTGCCCTAAAAAAGCACCTCTACTAGATGGCGACTCTACCAAAGTTGATTTTTGCAGAAAACGAATGGACCAAAGACAGTAATTTCCATTCCTTTTAACTAACATATTAAAAAACTGAAATTTGCAAAGTTCGAAACTTAGATATCAATACAAATACGAAAAGTACAAATAGAATATGAGTTGTTTAGGGGCCATCCATAAATTACGTCACACGTTAGGAGGGGGGGGGGGGTCAACGAACTGTCTGATTCGTTGACCCCCCCCCCTCCTAATCTGATTTCGGGTACTATAGTCCGTGCCAAATAAACGTGCAATAAAGGTCATTCAACCCATTTGTACCAGGAAGTCAACAAATTAAGCGATACCGATCGCTTCTCATACAAAACTGTCGCTAAATGGGTGTTCGGCCCGGTTTCATAATACATACATAGTACCATCCCATCATTTAAAACGAGTAACTTAAAAATTAAACAAAATCGAGCATGAATAATCGCATAATTTTTTTTATCCTTTTTTTTTATCACTAAGACAATTAAACTCAATAGTTTTATTGCTTGTATACGAAAAATATATTTTCGGCGTAATTTTTCTTTTCCCCATTTTCGTGTTTTTATCATTTTATTTTTTTATAAAACCATATGATAAGTCATTAAATAAATGGATTTAATAAATATACTAATTCAGTGTACTAAACTGTGTCATAATAAAACATTTTAATTTTACTTTATTTTCGAACTCAGTTATAAGGTATTTTAAGTTACGACGTTGCGTCGTTGCCTTAGAATGACGTCACAGTGAGTCAGAGGTGCGTCACCTGTGGCCGCCGCCAGTTTAAATATGCAGATGCATTATTTGTTTGTAGTCCGATTCGGTCTTGCATTTGCACACCACGTGTATCTTTTGCGTTCATCGTTATTTTTGTTAAATCTTTGTTTTTATTATTAGTTTGTAGATTGTTAACCGTTGTTTTGTTTTGTTAATTGTTATAAATGAGTGAAGAAGTGAGAATGAGTGAGACAAGGAAAAAGCAACCAAGGCGTCGAAAGAGAATCTTGGAACCTCAAGCAGGTTAGTATATTATTATTCAAATTTATTTATTTTCAAACAAATTTTAACAGCCGTTGAAAAAGAATAGTCTTAAAATACATATTTATCTTAGCAATGTTCTTAAATTCCTTACGATTATAGAATTTGTATATTATGCACAAGTCGTCGTTGCTTGAATCCTCAAAACAAAATATTTCTAGGTAACCAGAATTACCAGAATCGATATAAATAAAAAGTTGTGTACATATTATTAAAGGCGACCTAAATGTTCTTATCTAATATTGTAAGCCAAATTTTCGAAGTAGAAGCCTTTCTCAGCAAATTTGCCCTTTCTTTTCCCTGCGGCTGACCATTCCTATACGTGGTAGGTTTAATAATTATATTTTCGTTTCAGATCATCTTCGTCAATACCCCTTAATTCTCCGATAAAAAGAGAAAGTCAACAACTTGGCAATCGGCGAAAAACAATTGATCACAAACATCTATAAATATGTTAAAAATACTTGGCCAGAAACTGAATACAAATCAAATCAGGCTATGGTAGCTAAGACAGCTGAAATTAGCGGAGTGAGTGTAAGATCCATTCATGGAATTTTACGGGAGTACAAAGACACTCACACATTTAAACCAAAAGGCACCACTTAATGATCAAATAATGATATAGACGTTCTTTTTATTACAAAATAATATTTTGAAATAATGACAATGCATGAAATATTTTTGTTTTTCTATTATTATAGTAATATTCGACATGATCCGTGGTCTTTCGAAACAACTGATGTAAAACGCACAACGCACTGTAAAGTTGCAAACTATAAATATATGAAATAGCATCTTTTATGTAGCTATGTAATGTAAATAAATGTGTACTATTTAAAAACTGTTTCGTATTTCATTGCCCCTATTCCACATATCCCTTTGGGCTAAAAACTCAGAAAAAAATGAGATCAGTAATATTGTTTTCCCCATAAGTTTCATGAACTTACATATTTTATATGGTTAACTTGCGTCATCGGCATTTATAAACTACTACATGAAAAAAAGGTTTATGATATATGTCAAACTCAGAATTCCAGGACTGTCCTGTACCACGATACGTCTAATTAGTCACTTTTAGCGATAGTATCCATACGATTTGTTCATTTTGTCCATAATATTAGAGTACATTGGTACAGAGGAGGTGAATGACCTTTATTGCACGTTTATCTGGCACTGACTATAATGTTTATTTTTTTTTATATACTTTCTCATTGTCCTAATTTGTCCATCTTCCTTTACGATTTGCTCCCATCAAAAGTTCCTTGTCTCAAAAATTTTAACTGTATCATGAGTATGGAGAATCACAGCCCATTTTATCTTAATTCCTAGCAATCAATAATAGTCTTAATCTATGAATATCTTTGTTTTCTATATACATTATATTTGTAATATCTTTAAAAATGTAATCAGATAGACGTACTCAGAGCCTTTTTTATTGTATTATCTATTACTCCAAAATTCAAAATTTTACATTACCAGCCCTTTTACGTCCCCACTGCAGGGTCTCAGGCCTTCCTTATGGATGGTTAAGGAGGATGGGCCATGACCCTCTACGCGGGCCCAATGCGGATTGGAGGGTATTAACGACTGCCAATGCAGCCGGGACCAACGGCTTAACGTGCCTTCCGAAGCACGGAGTAGCTCGAGATAATAATTTTTGGTCACCCATCCCGTGACTGACCCTTGCGAAAGTTGCTTAACGACTACGATCGCGGGCCGCGGTGCTTTACATATTTATATTACTGTTTATTTACGTGTAAAGACTAGGAATTGCGGAATTGTGTACTACCAAGCTTTATCTATTACGGAAAACCTAGAAATGGGGTATTTGATGTATTTACATTTGTTATTATATATTTTGGTGATCATATGAACTGTTTGTACATTAATTTTTTGTTTGTTACATTTTTTTTTCTTATTACCAGAGGTCGGAATAAGGTAGAGTTATTTATGTACTTGCATCGAAATGTTGATATTAATGTGGACCTTCCCGGGATTTCTTTATTTCTTTCTTTCATTGATGTAAGTTTGGCAACGTCATGCGTGCAGTAGTTTAAATTGTATAAAAGTAAATAACTTTTTATTTAAAAAATCACGGGATTTTTTTCTGCTCTTTAAAATTAATCTCGGGATTTGAGACATATCCACTTTATTCTTTCGCTGTATGAAATCAGTGTAAGTACATGAATAACTCTACCTAATTCCGACCACTGCTTATTACCCTTTAATAGATCAAATTTTCAAGCTTAGTCATTCATTTGCCTAAGCATCGAACCCGTCACATAGATACTTACTTGTATGCAGGATCTATGGAACCAAGCGTCTCTGGCACAACATGGTGGCCAAAAGGTCTGCAACGTTGGAAATGCATCCACTTCTTCGTAACATATAACGCATACACACTCAGACTTGAGAGATTCTAAAATAAAAATAATAACATGTTAGTTTCAAACTGAGACAGTAAGGGGCTGTCCATTAATCACGTGAGGATCGAAAGGGGGGGGAGGGGTCCATAAAAAAGTCACGAAATATCACAAGGGGGGAGGGGAGGTGAAGTAACATATCACGTGTATTTATTTTTTCGACAAACGCGCGATACTCAACCGAAAAGCGGCGTAAATAAGTGTAATAAAATTATTTTTTCGTCAAACGTTCATTAAATAATAATATTCATAAAGTTTTTCGCATTCCTTTCATTATTTTTGTCAATCAAAAACAACCTGCAACTCCTGTAATCTGTCTGTCTACCTCTAGACATTATTGTACTCTTTAATTGTCTATAATACAATTAGAAAATTAAGATTCATTGTAAGTACTAAAAATACACGTGATATATGGGGAGGGGGAGGGGGGTAGTCTTAAACCTCACCATGTATCACTATGGGGGAGGGGAGGTTAAAAAATGCCAAAAAAAACATTAGGATGTTGCGGGCATATAGTAGAATATTTTTATCCGGAATCATGTTTCTGTTATTTGTAATTTAATATGGATCTGTTCTATATATTAAGGTCCTGGATAAATTGTTTATTGAAGAAATAAAAATACGTGTCTACACCTTGCTTGTTTATTTTATACTAACTGCGGAGATCCTTTCATACACTTATAAAGGAAATGCATTAGGAATAGGCACGGGCGAACGTAAATATAATAATTACACAAACATACCGCCCGCCAAAACTCAGTTTTAACATATAATAATGCTCCTTACACATTGCAAACAATAATTGTTCTATTAAAATTATTATAAAGTTCAAACAAACACGATTATTACAAAATAAGAAACCATCACAACATATATTCAATTACCTTCAATATTTTTATATTCATGTATTGGAATAATGACATCTTCTGACTGTACGACTTGTTTATTTCTACGTCGTAAACAACATGCAAAAACCTAAACAAACATTAAGTTGGTGACACACTAAACACAAATGCATAACAATTCGTGAACTTATAGAATATATTTATCTATTTACGAATTTAATAAACTTAAACTCTCCGAAAAATATAAACTCATATATATATTTATAATATATACCTTACAATTTTCACCTACACAATAAACTTATTTATCGTTAATAGGAAGTTCACATAATCTATTTGCAGGTCGTTTTATTATTTTTCCGTGATATTTTAAACTGTAGACTCGGCATATTTCATCGGCACCAGGATGTTTCTCAGTGATACGACCCAAGGCCCATTTACCAGGAGGAAGGTGGTCCTCTTTTACGAGAACAACATCTCCTACTTGAAACTCTTTCTTCGAGTTAAGCCACTTGGGTCTTTCTTGTAAACGTGTCAAGTACTCTGTACGCCATATATGCCAAAAATCTTGTACAAGTCTTTGAGTGTGCTGCCATCTTGACAAACGATTCAAGTTTATGTCTTGTAAATTAGGTTCAGGAACAGTAATTGGAGCTTCGCCGATAAGAAAATGTCCTGGGGTAAGTATAATTAAATTATCTGATTCTGAGTTATCAATTGGACACAATGGTCTGGAATTTAAACATGCCTCTATTTGGCATAGGGTGGTGCACATTTCTTCGAAAGTTAACTTTGACGTAAGTATCCGTTTAAGGTGGTATTTTATGGATTTAACTCCCGCTTCCCACAGACCACCAAAATTCGGACTGTATGGCGGGTTAAAATGCCACTGTGTTCCATCCTCAGCTAATAAATTTACTAAGTTTGCCGGTACTTCTAATTTAGTTTTGTTCCACATATCTATGATTTCCTTACTTGCGCCTACAAAGTTAGTTCCCCGATCACTCCATAGATTAGCACAACGACCTCTCCTGGCTACAAATCGCTTAAACGCACCAATAAAAGCATCCGTGCTTAGATCTCCAACTAATTCTAAATGTATGGCCTTAGTTGCCATACATACGAAGATACATATGTATCCTTTGGTACATCTATGGCCACGTCCCTTTGATATCAAAATTTGAAGTGGACCAGCAAAATCAACACCTGAATTCAGAAATGCACGAGCAGGAGTGACTCGAGCCTTTGGTAAGTCGCCCATTTTTTGGTTTTTAGAGATAGCCTTTTGTCTGGCACATATAAGGCATTTATGAATTGTGCTCGATACTAAGGTTTTTAATCTAATAATCCAAAATTTTGATCTCACATAGTTCATGGTCAATTGCACACCACCATGTAAGGTTTTTTTATGTGCATCTGTTGCAATCAACTTAGCCAATGGATTTTTATTACCTATTATCATAGGGTGTTTACTACTGTAAGTCATTTCAGCATGTCGTAAACGACCGCCCACCCTCAAAATATTTTCTTTATCTAGAAATGGGTTCAGGTTTTTTGTTTTGCTTTTTCTAAGTATTTGTTTGTTATTTTTTAAATCTTCTATTTCTCTTTCAAATTCCTTGGCTTGTACTATTCTGACACAGTTTTTTAATGCTTCATTTAATTCTTCCGTTGTAATCATTAAGTTTGGTTGTATTTCAGAATTCCTTCTATATTTTAAAAATCTTTTACAATACGATATAGTTTTTATTAATTCATTAAGCGTTTCAAAATTTTCAAACTGGGTAAGTAATGTAATTTCCATTGTTTCCTTTTCTTCAACATTTAAATTAACATGAATGTTTTCATTTTCTTCTAGGTCTAGTAGCGGTTCTTTGATTTGATGCATCTCTATTTCATCGAAACCCAACCAATGTGGTCCGTTCCACCACAGTGTACATCTCTCCAAGTCCGTCAACTGCATCCCACGGGAGGCAAGGTCAGCGGGATTGTCTTGTGACTTGACATGAAACCATTTTAGTCCAATATTATCAAGAACAGTAACTACTCGGTTTCTTACGAACGTTTTCCACCTACCAGGATCACCTCGGAGCCAGGATAGTACGATTGTGGAGTCTGTCCAAGCAAAAACTTGTGCTAGAGGAATACTTGTGGCTTCACTTATTTGTTTCAGAAGTTTTGACAGTAAAACAGCTCCACATAGCTCAAGCCTCGGCAACGATACCGGTTTTATGGGTGCAACGCGAGATCGAGCTGCAATCAACCCTATCTTGTATTGGCCATCTTCCATTTGTACTCTGAGGTAAGCAACGGCACCATAAGCCTTAGTTGACGCATCGCAGAAACCATGTACAGTTGCATTAGGTAATGTATTACATGAAGTGTTCAGCCACCTGTTTATTTCAATTTTATGTAAATTATTCAAATCATTTCTTATTTTTAACCATTCTTCATTTGTTTCAGGTTCCAGTGTCTCATCCCAGGTAACACCCTTTAGCCACAATTTTTGTAAGATAAGTTTTGCTGGTAGGAGTGCGGGTGTCATCCAGCCAAGCGGATCAAATACGTGATGAATCTCTGCTAAAATAGATCTTTTCGTAACTTCTTTAGGTGGCGGAGGTAACGTGGAAAAATATTTCAATTTATCCTCACCTAAATTCCAGGTTAATCCTAATGTTCTGACACCAATATTCATATCGATCTTTACATTTAAGTCTGTACTTGAAGCATTGAACTCTTTCTGGAATTTTGTACTATTTGACGACCATTTCTTCAGACAAAATCCCCCTTTTTCCAATATAGCCGAGATGGATTTCGCGACATCTATTGCCTTTGTTTCAGTATCTTGACCTGACATCAAATCATCCATGAAAAAATCTCTTTTGATTGTTATAGCTGCTTCTGGCTGAGTCTTGCCTTCATCTTCTGCCACTTGTTGGAGGGTTCTTACAGCAAGATATGGAGCCGAAGCAGTTCCGAAAGTAAGTCTAAGTAATCGATAATCCTTGATAGGTAACTTAGGGTGATCGCGCCATACAATTCGTTGATAATCTGAGTCCCTCTTGGTCACCAAAACTTGTAAATACATTTTTTGAATATCAGCTATAAAGCCAATTTTATGTAGTCGCCATCTCATAAGTAAAGATCTCAAATCTTCTTGAAGTTGCGGCCCAACCAATAAATCATCATTCAAGGAGATATTGTTAGTGTCAGGAGAAGATGCATTAAACACTACTCTAGTTTTCGTTGTGTCACTGGTTTCTTTTAGAACGGCGTGATGTGGAAGGTAAACAGATGGTGCACTCCTTTCAATTTCCGATACTTCTTCCATGTATTTCAAGGTAATGTATTCATTTATGGCTTTATTGTATTCTGTCCTTAACTTCTTATTTTTCTCGAAACGATTTTCCAGTTGCTGTAGCCTTTTTAATGCAATATTTCTTGTATTGCCTTCTGTACTTCTTGGTGGTTCATTTTTTAATGGTAACTTTACGATATATCTGCCTTCCTCGTTTCTCTTAAAGGTGGTTTCATATAGTTTCTGGCACGTTTCTTCTTCCTTAGTAAGTTTGTTTTTATCATCGCTATCAATTTCCCACAGCTTGTATAACAAATCATCATATTCTACTTGGTGATGCATTACCATTAATGTTTCGTTTGAAGTACAGCTTTGTACCTCACCAAAGAGAATCCAACCGAAACTAGTTTCTTGCGCGCATAATTTTCCATTTGACACTCTGATGAGGTTGTTCTTTAAGATGTGAGCATATACTTCCACACCCAGCAATAAATCAACCTTTCCTGGTTGGTTAAAGCTTGGATCTGCGAAGAAAAGATTGTTGAGTTGTGGACAGTTGTGAAATACATCAATAAGTAATTTTGCGGGCAATTTAGTTGTAAGCCGAGTCGGCATTACATATGTATTGATGGTAAGTTGAAACTCATTATCATATCTCGACAGAAGTTGTAACTGAACGACTTGATTGACTTCTGTTTGTATTGATCCCACTCCAGTAACGAGTCCTTGCGTAGCTGTTCTTTTCACTTTCAATGCTTGTGCCGCTCTTTCACTAATAAAATTTGCTTGGGACCCCTGATCGATTAAAGCACGCAATATGGTTGTATTTCCCACATTATTCTTTACAGGTATCAATGCTGTGGCGAGCAATGCTGTAGACTTCCTTGTTACTATATTTGAAGATATTGCGATCGCAGCTTGATTATCGGGGTCTTCTTGGATTCCTTCGATAACTTGACCATGGTGAGTTTGTAAATTGTCTGATTGACTTGTAGACTTTGGTTGATGCAGCAACGAATGGTGTCGTCTATTACATACTTTACAGGACATTCGTAATCGACATCGCATAGCAGAATGACCTGTGATCAGACAATTGTAACATAAATTCTTCTCTCGTACAAACTCGCTTCTCTCTTTAGGGTTTAGTTTTGTAAACTTCTTACAATGGCAAAGTGTGTGGCGTTCATTACACATAGTACATGTTTTTATGATCGGAGGTGATGTAGACATATGGAAGGATTTCTCTCTACTTGGTTTGCTTTCTCTTGTTATAGATAATGGTGTAATTAATTCCAGCGTGCGAAATTTAGACTCTAAAAAATTCTGTAGTTGTGACCAGGTAGGTAATTTATCAGAATCAGGGTTGTAAACAAAGTCTTCCCATGCTTTGTGTGTATCAATATCGAGTTTTTGAATGACTATGTAAATGATCATTGGATCCCATGATTCTGTTGGTACCTGTAAGTTGTTAAGGCTATTCAAGCATTCTGTTGTCGTGTCTAGTAGACCTTTAATTTGATTTGCAGTTGGTGCAGTAATCTTCTTTTGAGTGAATAGTCTCTTTAATAGAGAATTCATAATTAGACGCTTACTTCCATATCTTTGCTTGAGAATCTCCCATGCCTGTTCATAACTGTTTTCTGTAATCTGAATGTGTCTTAGTAAGACTTCCGCTTCTCCAGCGATGCTTGACTTCAAATAGTGTAGTTTCTGGACCTTTGTCAACGTGATATTGTGGTGTACTAACGAAGTAAATAGATCATTGTATGCTGGCCATTCCTCATATTGACCGGTAAATGTTGGAAGATGTATGTTAGGCAACTTGACCGATGATATAGTAACTTGTTCTACTGACTGACCGGAAGTATTGGGTGAATCTCTTGGTGCATTAAATCTTATCAACATATCCTTCAAATCTCCTGTTATACATAGATATAAATCTTCCATAATAAAGTAATCTTCATTTACGAAGTAGGGTAAATCAGCACGTTTTTCTTTCGGCATACACTTCACTAACTCTTGATGGTAAGATTTGAAAGCTTGCCAGTCTTCTTCGATCGATTTTAGTCTTATTTCAATATAACCTCTTGTGAGACGTTGTTTAGGACATTTCTTAAGATTTGTCTGTGTCTTCTGTAACATCGAAGCTTTTTCTTCCAATAATTTTAATATTTCATCACAATTTAAACTCATTTTCACTATTTTTAAAATTTCGAATAAAATTATAAATATTCAATGATCTCAGTGTGCCACTGTCTCAACGTTGTTGCAAGCTTATCTCTGGAATGCGGTCCTCTATTGTTCGATCACTGTTGAACGCCACTGGTTATGTTCAATATATCCGGTTCGATTTTGACCACTATGTTCTATATATTAAGGTCCTGGATAAATTGTTTATTGAAGAAATAAAAATACGTGTCTACACCTTGCTTGTTTATTTTATACTAACTGCGGAGATCCTTTCATACACTTATAAAGGAAATGCATTAGCAATAGGCACGGGCGAACGTAAATATAATAATTACACAAACAGATCATTGGATCTGAAACAAAGATTTATTATTATAAAGCTTTGATTCGATTTACTAGTTTCTTACCTGAGATATTATTTGTATTTTCAATTTCTTTTTCGTTTACTTTTGGACATTTCAACGCCTTCTTCTTCTCCTGCATTCTCACTTTAGCTTTGCTCATAATTACGTCGGGAATCTTCTGTTTCGGCGCATGACCTTGACAGAATGATCTGTAAAATAATGCAACATATATATATATATATATATATATATATATATATATATATATATATATATATTGTTATTATGGAAGCATTAATAGAAACTGTTTTTTACACATAGACCTCGATGGCGCAGTGATTAGTCAACCAGTAAGATTGTACAGAACAGAAGTAGGCGGTAGAGAATAAAAACCGTATATAAAATCGTAACTATAAGCAAATATACAAGCAATACATATAAACATAATCTACACTAATATTATAAAGAGGAAAACTTTGTTTGTATGTATGTTTGTTTGTAATGAATAGGCTCGAAAACTACTGGACCGATTTTAAAAATTCTTTCACCATTCGCAAGCTACATTATCCACGAGTAACATAGGCTACATTTAATTTTGGAAAAAATAGGGTTCCGTCAGATATTTGGGTGTAAAAAATCAACCAGAAAAGTTACTTATTTTGCGTACGCTGCCTAAACCATAAAATGTTGTAATTAATTGTAGATCTGATAAATATCTATAAAAAAGTCAGCGACATTTTTTGGACTACATTTAAACCCGTTTATTTTAATCATGCATGGCGTGACGTCACCAAGGCGGGGTGCGCGTGCGTGGGGGGGGGTAGATCTATGATTAAGGTACCAGCGGACCGCGCGGGCGAAGCCGCTGGCGGATTTATATACATATATATTATAAGATAGAACGAGTACTGATATCGTAGTGTCTGATGAAGTGGAAGTACGAGCTTCGGACTTAGATGAGAGTTTGGGACGTTACGAAGGTCAAATGGTAATGCATTCCATAGTCGGATGGCAGTCAGAGTGAAAGGTGAGGTGTTTAAAGGATCAGATTGATCACTGGAGCGAAGATTTTTCTGGTGGGAGGCCCAGAGGAAGTGAAACCTAGATTTCAAATACTCAGGAGTACGTGGATCGAAAAGAATGTTGTAAAAAGGTGCATACGATCCTTAAGTTTCTCTCTTAAGTTGTTGACGGAAGTGAGGAATATGGTCATATTTACGTAACCCTAAAACGAAGCGAATGGTATTGTTGAGAAGACGATCCAGTTCGTTGGGGGCCGTCCATTAATCACGTGAGGCTCGAAAGGGGGGGGGGAGGGATTCGTCAAAAATCACGAAATATCACAAGGGGGTGGGGGGTTGTAGTAATATATCACGTGTATTTATTTTTTCCTCGACGTGCGAATATCAAACCGAAAAGCGACGTTAATAATTAAGATTTTTGTTTTTTTTTTTAAATACACGTGATTTGGTTGAAGGAGGGAGGGGGTAGTCTTAAACCTCACCATGTATCATCAAGGGGACATCTGAAGTACAAACATCAGCATAATCAAAAAGGGAATGTACAAGGGATTCATTAACTCAGATTTAATGCAGGAAGGTTGAAAATTATTTAGCCGATATAGAAATCCAAGACTGCGGTGTATGTTGCGACAGATATTTTCCATCTGCCCATCCCAGTGCAAAGAACTATCACGGACAACCAGTGGCGTAGCGTGGGTGTCTGCCGCCCGGGGCGGAAGCCAATTTTGTCGCTCCTCTTAATTAGGTATTTGATATAATTATACTATAAATTATATTCATTAATTAATTTACAAATCGTTAATTTTAATTCTCATATGTCATGTACTTTTTTCCTCCATTTGAAATATAAAAAAATGAAGTAAACAACTGAAGATCCATGAATAAAACTTTCTTTGAATTGTCAAAGCATCACATACTTTCTTAAAGGGACGTAATAAAGAATATTTAACTTAATATATATGTAATAGAAGTCATTATTGCTGATTATAAGTGATAAACAATCCAAGTAATAAAATACGGGAATAAGTAAGTCAGTATAAATGGTCCTGTTCATTCTATCGGAATTTATAGTTGCATTAAAAATATGAATTGGTTCCGATATTTAAAAAATATATTTTATGTTTACTGTAATATTTTAGCCCTCCCCTTCCCCTCCCCCCTCTGCCCCCACTACAGTACGTCACAAGCCCAAGGTTTTACACAGTATTAGTATATGGTAGAACCGTGCCACCATAAAAAACAGTTGGAATTGAAAATCTGTTGAGCTTTGCAATTTGATGTGGGTTGCCGATGATAATGGCCTGACATTTGTTGGGGTTTACAGAGATTTCATTCTATCAGCGTGTAATGGTGTGCCATACCACCATTTATTTTGTTCTAGGTTTTATATTACAGGAAACTCAAAAAGGGGTATGTATTTGTATTTAAGGAAACATACAAACTGTTTTTATATAAATTTTTTGATTATTAGTTTATCTTTACCCTTTACTACTGTGGGGAACATACAACATTACATATTTATTTATTTATATATATTCACTACTAACATAAACATAGACATTTCACATTCACGTAAAGAGTTCATCATCATAGATTTTTAAAACTCTCTAGCAATTATAAAAAAAGTAATAAAAAAAGAATATAGATAAAACTCTCTATTAGAATTATGTTCTGAATTTGTTTCTATATTAAGATTGAATAAAATCACGTGTCTCTCTCATTACGGGATGTTGGCAAAATTTCCGTGTATAACGGAACAAGTCCATATAGGAAAAAAAAAAAAAAAGATTGAATAATTGGAAAATGTATATAAATTAATTTTATTGAATTGTGTTTGTAAGATAGTGACTATACTTAGTTATTTTTAAATCGTGTACATTATTGGGAGATTTTTATTTTCGTCATCGCTACTACCATATTACCATAAAATAGAATCAATTCTCAAGCTTAGTCAGTCTTTTCATTAATTCGCCCAAGCAACAAACCTGTCATAAGCATATAGGTGATAAGAAGTAGTAAGAATGGTGGTTAGAGTTAATAAAACTTGAGAAGAGAAGAGGAGAGAACTTCCACAATGGACGGGAAATTTATTATCTAGAGCTCCTTCATGCTTCCGGAAGTATATATCGACGCTGGAAAGCAAACACATAGTAACCCGCAAAACCAAAATGCATATTTAAAGTGGAAAATCTTTATATTTTTCAAAAAATACTATCTTATTTCCGGATAAATTGACTAAGGAACACCTTATTTATTACCATGGACATGTATAGGAATTATTTATCAAAAAAAATAAAAGCTAATCTGCTCTGAAGGACAATTTTGGTTTTGCGGGTTACTACGTGTTTGCTTTCCAGCATCGATATGTTAAATGGTCCCAGCTAAATCTGTAGTCATTAACACCCACCAATCTGCACTGGGCATGCATGAGCTCCAGCAGTGGGGATGTTAATAGGCTTTGTTGATTTATGATTTTTTTCAGTAAGTAACTTAATAGTGGTCTGTTTATTTTCGCCTTGTAGAGATCGCATTCAATCATTAACGCATACGTGTTTTTTTAAAGTTAAGGCGGTAAATGTGCAGAGATTATCCACTTACTTGTAATTACCATAAAAAAGGGAAACTGCATTCTTTTCCCTTCCGCATGGCAAATGGAATTGTTTACGGCACTGTGAGATGCTACAACCCAGGGTGGCACCATCCTTATTGCAGTAAGAACATTTCTATAAAAGAAAACATTTCAAATTTGACAATTAACTTTTTTTTAACTAAATTTTTAGACCTGGTGTTTATCAGGTGTTTTGCTTAAGTACATATTTTTTGTTTATGACAAATAGTGAGATAGTCCTACAAATATAATAAATGCAAAAGTTTGTGAGGATGTATGTATGTTTGTTACTCTTTCATACGAAAACTACTTACTATATTTTGATAATATTTGTTACCAAGAGGCAATGTGTGCAAAATCACTGTAAATTATTAATTTGACTTAGATTTAACCTAAAATTACCTTGTCCACACAGACTTTGCAATCTATACAATATTGAATTGCAATTTACACAATATTGGTATTGTCCTTTGAATATTCAATAAGTATGGAGAATACGAAAGCATTACTAAGTAAAGATTGTAAGACAAATCACCACGAATTATAATACTAACATGTTTTTTACTCCTTTCCACTTCTGCTAAGATATCTTTGTATAGAAATCCAAAGAGACCCTCTTCATCCTTTCCTTTTTGTATCAAACAACAGGATAACAACTGAAATTACGTTTAAATCGTTATTTAATTATATAATGAGTGTTAAATTATGAATTAAGGCCAATAAAATTAAAATATTCTTGTTTTGAATGTATTTACTTCATAAATACTTACAACACAAAAGTAATGGCATTGTATATCACCAATAGCATACAGCTTCCCATAGGTAGTCTCATCATCGACTTCACGCTGGCAAAATACACAAGGAATCCTGTTTTCAGTCACTAATCTGGCTGAAAGCTTGTGCTTATTCTTTACACCTTTCTTCGCCATTTTTTTATTTAAATTAAAGTCTCTGAATAAGTCACGAGTACATTACTTAAGGATATACTAGAAATGTCTGCAATAATGACGCATTTTCTATAAATCTTTTAGATAATGTAGTAGCATAATCTTCTTTTTCATCAAATATAAATAATTGCCACCAAAGCAAACACCATAACAACTTTTGACAACGTCAAAATAAAAAATGGCGGGAACAAATTTTTATCGTTCAAAAACAGTTACACGTAAAGCTAAGACTGCATGAATGTGCTAATATAGTTTAGGAATAATTGATATTGTAAAATGACATAAAACAAGGGACATATTCAATAAGTGTGCCACATGTATCTTGTTAATGCGAGCGCTATTGTGTGTTAGCATAGAAAGCTGTATATAACTAACAAACATATTTTTATACTATCAACATATTTTTTGCAGATTCTGACATGTTGGTTTCAAAATCGCAGTTTATTATTTAACTTATTAGATTATTTACTGCTTGGTCCTTTTATAATGTTTATTGAACGAATATACGGCCGGTATCATATAATATTATCATGTATACAAGCCTTATACTTCTTAAAACATTGTCTATGGATCATAAGTATTTTTTTGAATATGAATTATGAGCAATTAGCGGCAACAGTGCAACACTAAATTAGAAACGTCAAAAAAAACTCAAAAAGCCGCATCGGCGATATTTGTTTTAATTTATTTTTATTGTTATTTTGTTTTAAATTAGGGTTAAAAACAATAGTTGAGTGCTACAACCATAGTTTAATCTAGTCCTGTATTGTAATTTGCTTGCAGTCTGTAGCGGTGACTTTGTGCCATAAAATAATGTAATTCACGATCCTTTGTTATTGAGTTCAGTTTCCTTGAGTTTTCGATTGGTAATTGTAAATTGTTACCGCGTGAAAACGAATAATCGTGAATGACCTTCGTTATGTGATAACGTGATCTTAAATACGAGCGAATTACAGTTGATTCAACTAGTAAGAAGAAGAAGAATCTGTTGGAATTTAATTTTGGAACAAAATGGCTATTTCAGTCAGAAGTTTTGTTTTGATTAGCCTGATTTTCCTTAACGAAGGCACACTCCAATAGGACTCTTACAAGAAAATGTCCACAATACAAGAGAAACAAACTGTTTGGCCAGGTAATGATAATATCAATGCTAAATATGAAAAATGTCTTAACATCACTGAAGAGATATACAAGAGAATAAATATTACATTTCAAATTAAAAAACTGGAAACAGCAAGCCAAAGTAATGTTTCAGATCAAAGGTATTGTATATTTACTAATAATTCTTAATGGAATCTAAGTAGTTATTTTGCCATTATATTTGACTAAATTTCGCATTTACAATGCTATATTCCATATCCCCGTAGCCAAGTGGTTTGCACGCCAGTCAAATCAAATCAAATCAAATAATTTATTGGCCATATAACTCAGAAGGTTACACTCGGCTAGTCTTTTACAATAAGCATATTAAATTAAAAATAAAGGATTAAATCATGCAGGTCAAATCATTGTAAGTAGGAATGTCAAATAAATTAAGTATCTTAACAATGTTAAAATGGTTATTTTACAGTCCTTAATAATCAATTATATCACAGTCAATTAAATTACAACATTACAAATTAAATTAAAATATATATACCCATTATCACAAATTAGTTTATACAAACATAGGTTATATATAATTTTATGTTATAACATAAAATATTGATGATTATTATATCTTGTCATCTACCATAGAGATCTAGACAATTTCCTATCTCACCCATCTTTATGTAGGAATGAATATTCATCCAAATGCATAGACATAAATTCATTTAAAGAGTATAAGGGATGTTGAATAAAAAATTTTTTAATTGTTATTTCGAATTCGTCATCATTCATGTTTTTTATACTGAGGGGAAGTTTATTATACATTATAATTTTATTATACATGCTGTTGGCGACTGGCCGTTCAAATATAGGTTAAGTTCTTTTTAGAAGTGTAATATGTCAAAATTATAAATTTGTGGCGTGAAGGGTTGGACTGGGATGAGCAGCTTCCGCAAAAGCATGTAGATATTTATAACGATTGGTTGCAAGAAGTAAATGTAGCCACTTCAATCAAAATTCCACGTTGCTACACTTTTGGAAGTGGCTCTATGCAACCCATCGATATACAGCTACATTTGTTTGCAGATGCTAGCGAGCAAGCATATGCCTGTGTTGGTTATTTTCGTTATGATTACGGAAATGGACAACTTAAGTTAGCTCTAATTGGTAGCAAAGCACGTGTCACACCACTCAAACCGTCCACTATACCTCGCTTAGAACTCCAAGCGGCTCTTATAGCTCTGAGGCTAGCATTTACATTAAAAGAAAATCATAGAACGAAGCCATCTTCAACCACATATTGGACAGACTCTTCCACCGTTTTGAAATGGCTGCGGGGTGACCCAAGGCGATATAAACCTTTCGTCGCACATCGTGTGGGAGAGATTCTCGAAAATTCAAATCCCTCTGATTGGAGATGGCTTCCCAGTAACTTAAACGTTGCTGACGAGGCTACTAGAGCGAACTGTAGCATTTTAGACATGTCACATAGGTGGTTCACTGGCCCCTCTTTTCTTTTACTTTCTCAAAAGGAGTGGCCAGAGGAGCTGACCGAAACTGAAGTCGCACCACTTCCAGAGATGAAGGAAGTGGTGGGATTTCTCTCTGATCGCTTTCTCCAGCGACCTCCGGTACCAGACCCATCCCGTTTTAGTGTCTGGCTTCGGTTATTACGGGCTACTGCCTCTGTTTTATTAGGCGCGAGAAAGTTTCGGCTTTTGATTTGTTCACATATATGTCCAAATTCTAAATTAAACTCTATATCACCAAACCTGATATCAGCATCAGACATGAAGGACGCTGAAAACATGTTGTTACAGAAAGCACAGATAGCTTCAAAGATGAGATTCTATGTTTAACCCATTCAAAGCCTCTTCTCAAGAGTAGTCGCCTTTCCTCCATTTCAGTTAAGATGCATAACGGTCTCCTTACTCTGAACTCTCGAGATAAGACACAAACTCGGATTATTCTTGATGACCGCCACTATATAGTTCGCCTGCTCGTCGCTCATTATCATCAGAAAGCGAATCATGGCTTCCATGAACTTGTCCTAAACGAACTAAGATCACGATTTTGGATTTTAAGAGCAAGAAGGGCAATTAAAACCGTAGCTGGTCAATGCTTAGAGTGCGTTAGAAGACGAAAGAAACCCGAACTACCACCCACCGGTAATTTACCTGTTGAAAGGCTCCAATTTGGCGCGAGACCATTCACAAATGTTGGCCTTGATTATTTCGGTCCAGTTGAAGTGGCAGTAGGGCGCCGTCGAGAAAAACGATATGTTGCACTTTACACATGCTTGGTCACAAGAGCTCTTCACCTGGAGATCGTTGCCAGCCTTATGACAGATGCTGCGTTGATGAGTTTGCGGCGTTTTATTGCTAGACGAGGGTCCCCAACGAAGATCTTCAGTGACAACGGTATAGCATTCGTTGGTGCTAGTAGAGAGCTGAAAGCCCTGTTTGGCCGCCCCCTTCAAGAGTTTGCAGTAAATAATATGATACATTGGTTGGAAGTGAGCAAAATATCCTGGCATTTTATTCCCCCGGCAGCACCATTCATCGGAGGGGCGTGGGAAAGAATGGTTCGTTCTATTAAGACTGCCTTAAAGGTTACGCTTCGAGATAAAGCTCCAAAGGAAGAAGTTTTCCACACATTTTTATTAGAAGCAGAAGCCCTTGTAAATTCACGCCCTTTGACATACGTCTCTTCTGCTAGCGACTCTCCCGAAGCGATTACGCCTTTACATTTTTTGATCGGCTCATCTTCGACTTCAAACTGGCTAGCAAGCGAGCTAAGTGATGCTGACTTAATTAGAAGAGCAGACTGGAGGCGAGTTTTACGCATGGCCGACCAGTTTTGGAACCGATGGGTTAAAGAATATCTGCCAATTTTACTAAAGAGACCCTCTGGAGGAAGTATTATTCAATGGCAGGAAGGTGACATAGTAGTCGTGGCAGACGAGCGACTTCCGAGAGGACTTTGGCCGCTGGGTAAAATTATTAAAATTTTTCGCGGTCAAGATAACGTTGTACGAGTGGTCGATGTCCTCACCAAAGGAGGGGTATTAAAGAGAGCCGTGAGGAAACTGGTTCATCTTACCCCCGCTGACCAGTCAGTCGCCTCACATTAAGCAGTGCTGTGCACCAGGGGTCGGAAATGTTGGCGACTGGCCGTTCAAATATAGGTTAAGTTCTTTTTAGAAGTGTAATATGTCAAAATTATTTATGTGTTTACTCTTGTTTTTTAATAAATAATTGTTCGTTGATGTCAGCAAGGGATTTTTATTTGCTATTTATAAATTCTAAAATTACAGTCTTTAATACATGCCTTGTTTTTGTACCTTTGCCAATCTTGTTTTAGGCAAACACAATCGTTCCTTATTACGTAAATTATAGTTATGGATGTCCATCTTTCTCAAATGTGAATCCCGATCATGGTGTATTTCTATTAAACATTTATAAATGTATAAAGAAATAATTGTCATTATTTTATTTTGTTTAAAATAAGGTTTGGCTGACGTACGCTTGCGCAAACCATTTATAATTCGTAATGACCTTTTTTGGCATTTAAGTACACGATTTATATCAGAAGCATTTCCCCAGACAGTCTGTCATAAGTCATCAGTTTCAAGATGTCATCATCTCTGAGGTACTGGGTTTGATTCCCTGGGTCAATGTAGAAAAATCAGTAAAATGGAATCTAATACAGCAAGAATAAAAAATAACCGAAGCAATAATATCACAATAATAATAATTAAATTCAAATAAAAGTACAATGTCAAACAATTTTCATAATTCAAGTAAATTTTTTAATTTAATACAAAATTTGTTTGACATCCACAACGCAGACCACTGAGCCACTGAACTCCTATTCTGTTGGTCCTCCTTATATCTTCTCTGTTTAGTGAGTATAATTGTATAAATAAAAATATTTAATATTTTAGTGACCAAATAGACAGCAACGAATTGAGCAATGAGACGGACCTGTTTGCCTGTGATAAAAGCAGCATATCAAGCAGTACGGAAGCAGAGAAACCAGTACTGGTACCAACAAAATATGTCAACATTAACAATAATGAAGAGAAGCCGAGGCCTGCTGTTGTTTACAAAAAGCCTAGGAAACGGTACATGTGAAATTATAAGTCTTTATTTTTTTTGGTGTACGGAAAGATCCTAATAATTATATGTGTAAGAGATAAAAAATTATTTAAATAAAGTACTTGTATTATAAACAATAAAGGACCCAGGAAAGTGCCCTGAGGTACTCACATCTTAAATGCCAACCTAGAGTCACTTGTGGTATTAAAAAACTAGTACAATGTCTTAATCAATAGTAGCAAAGATCATTGAATAATGTTTCATGTATCACAAATTCGTAGGCCTTTCATAAATCTTAAAGAGTTAACTGCAGTGGTGGACTAAGGGGTGGGGGAGGGGGCGGTCCGCCCCGGGCCACAGGTTCTGAGGGGATTCCAAATGGCTGCAAAGTCTCTTGATAACATTATAAATTCGGATTGGAGGTCCCATAGACAAATAAGTACAGCCTGTAGCGGGTGGGGCAGGAGGTGCTTGCCGCCCGGGCTCCCCAATGAGGTTAGTCCGCCACTTGTTAACTGCCTTAGTTAACATAAGATTGGCATCAGATTTCTTTAGCATTGCTTAGTTTCTGTGTGAGCTTTTCTATTAATTAGTTATTTTAAAGAACCAAAAGTCATTTTGGCATGTTATAGTCCAACTACTTTCCAACAAGAGACAACCCTTAATTATATATCAAATAATATATGTCGCTGTCTGTGTCACCGATTTCATAATACATTGTGCTCTAGCTACTTGAGATCCTAAGTAGTGGTCCTAAGTGCTTTTCAACATTCCACAATAGGTACGGATCCGGTGTATCAAGATCAGCTAGACCATAGGACAGTTGCTTTTTACGGAGTCCTTCCGTTACTAAGCGACCAAATGATGTAACAACATTCCTCCACCAATAAGACTTAACTAAAAAGAGATTATTCATCTTGTTGGAATACAAATAAAATTGTATTGACTGATGTCGCGTAGGTAACGCATAGTTATAGGGTCAGTTATAGGGTCGTTAAGTAGTATTTTGAAATTTGTTGTTCTTGTTTTGTGTAATGATGATTCAAATATTTATAATAATTAAATAGTATTTGTAATTGGTAATAATTTTTGTATTACCTAAAAATATTTAAAATGAACTTCATCATCATCAGCCCTGCCACTGCTCAGGCCTTCCTTATGGATGGTTAAGGAGGATGGGCCATGAACCTCCAATATGAATTGGAGGGTATTAATGACTGCAGACGCAGCCGGGACCAACGGCTTTCCGAAGCATGAGGGTAGCTCAAGATAATTTTTTTTTTTGCTATCCACTACCAATCCTTGCGAAAATGCTTAACAACAACGATCAGGGACCGCGGCGCTTAAAGATTATGTCACCGAGATACCTACGCCATCAATTTACTAAAAAAAAATGGGATACAATTATAATTTGGATACATAAATAAATTTTACACAATTTCTTTTGTTCGCCGCTAATACAAACTTAGGTCAAAGCTATAAATCGGCAAATTGCTTATCAAACAAACATATTGGTGAGCTTTTGCCCTTTTTGCGTCGTCCAAAAATGTGGCCCTGTGTGTATTATATTATTGTTTAATATTGCCTACATTTTTGTATTTTTATTATTTCAAAGTATATTAATGTTTGTGATTGATGCCAGTAAAATTGTCTGAACGATGTATATTTTTTTACTTTAAGATTTCGCAAGAGAGTTAAGAAGCGACAGACTAAGAAACAGAGCGAAAGTGACGGATCAAGTGATGAAGCTTTGCCTCTCAGTCGTATTGTGGATGTTGACATTGATAAATGCTTGAGCGAAGGTCAGGAGTCAGCGGATAACGTTATGGGAGTTCCCAACATTATTTTACTTGCTAAAGGTAACAAAGTTTCACTGCTTAATAGGCTAGTTGGCAACTTTTTATTATTTTATAAACAAATAGTCCATTAATATCTGAGAAATAATGTAGAAGTAACAGCGTGTGTGCCATTAATCGTTTCGGAGATATGGTGCTATGTTTGTGGAACTGGTGCTAGTCGAGCTAAAAATTCAAGGCATTAAGTGATGTCATAGGATGCTACGGCAGCCCAGCTTTTTTCAAGTTTTCAAAGCGTTATATTTTCCAAATAAGTATTGTTTAAACACCTATTTTTTTTAATAAATTATGGTTCATATTTTCCGAATATATAACAGAAACAAAACACAGCTTTCTGTTATATTTGCGCTGTACTTGTAGGACACAACCTTATTGTCACTAATTAAACTACAGTTGTACTCGCAGTTCATTTTTAAAGCATACTAGCTTTCCGCCAGCGGCTTCGCCTGGGTGTCTTGTATTATACATAAAAACCTCCCTTTTGAATCACCCTATCTATGAAAATAAAACCGCATCAAAATCCGTTGCGTAGTTTTAAAGATTTAAGCATACTTAGGGATTTATTGACAGAGAAAGCGACTTTATTTTATACTATGTAGTGATAATGTGTATGTGAGCTGAGTGCAAACTTTTTATTAAATCCTAAATTAAAAATCTTTAAAACTGTGTAAATGACAGATATTTGGAAGTTAACTGTGGACTAATACTAATGAATAATATACAATAGAATGTGTAAAAAACATTAAATTTCATTAATTAATTAATTACTAATTACATTTAGTTGCGTAGTTTTAAAGACAGAGAAAGCGACTTTGTTTTATACTATGTAGTGAAGCTTTAGACAATTTTAAAAAGTCTAATTAAGAAAGTCTTATCCATATTAACATAACGTTTGATTTAATTGAAATCCGTGCTCCTCTTAATTTCTAGATATGAAACCAAAAACTAAACAAAACGACAAGAAAGTAGCTAAAAAGTATATAGATACAAAACATATTGTAAATGAGGGATCTCTACGATTCGATGAGAAGAAAGAGATAGAAACATCGAAGAGCACACAGTACGACAATGTGGAGAATATAAAGAGTCCTACAAAAGATGCCAAGATATCATTAGAGATGAAGTGTTGTACTATGTGTAATTTACCATTTCGTGGTGAGAGAGGTCTGAGGTTAGTATATTTATAAGATTTCTATTCTTCACAAATTTTTCAAAGAAACACCTTCACCATCAGATTTAATTTCAGAGATACATATGTAAAACTTGTGTTCATATCTTTAGTTTGTACACATGACCACATAATGTCAAATTTCAGCAATGAATTTTGACTTCTACCGTTAATGTATTAAGATTTAAGGCCCTCTTGTACATCCGCTTACGTTCCCATACAAAAACGCAAAAAACTTCTCATGGAGTGTTAAGACTAGCTCATATGATATCATATTTTTTTTTATTACAGAACAAAAACAAATGCAGTTATAATAATTTCTTTTTTGTATAGTTAAGATGAATTACTAGTCGTAAAAAGTAAAAAAAAAATCCAAAAAAAAGCTGTTAAGTCATCGTTGCAACATTTTGTATCGAGCCAGTTATTGGAATTTATGTTTCTGTTTGTTGTTTTTATTCGGCAAATATTAGCATAACCCTAGATTAAAATTAGGATAAAACTTTAATGCTTAATACCTAATCAATTTCTTGGTAAATTGAAGCATATGAAAATGCGTATCTGACTGACGGACTAAATAGAAGTTCCTTTTTTCTTCATCCCCATTGAAGCAAATACTAATTTTATGTGCCAAACGGAAATATATATAATAAAATGAATAATATATTAATTATATATAGTTCCGTTCAGGAAGGTAAAATTTAACTTCAACAAAATTCTAAATTTTAACTTGTGCTTTCACTACCAACATACAAAAAGCCATAGTTTATAAAATATTAAAATATGTAGTTATCTGAGTGAAACACTGGTTTCTGGCGAAAGCCACAAGGGCAACGCTATTAATTTAAAAGAAGAAGAAGAATTAAATATAACAAAAACTAGCTGTTTACCCTCGACTTTGCCCGCGTAAATTATATGCTATCTCCACCTAGACTTTTACTATGTTGACTTAATGTTTTGTATATATATATATTTTTTTCCAACAAATAGAATTATTCAAGAAACTCTTATTATAGGCGGTTATCGTTTAATAACCCACAGAAATTTTCGCCCGATTTGATAGCAATTCTTGAATATTTAATTTGATTTGCTTTGATTGGTAATTTTTTTTTTAATAAAACTTATGTAAAGCCTATGTTTCCACTCGAAATATTTTCATTTTCAGACGTCATATTGCTATGTCGCATATAGTTAGTGACGCGACCGATGAGTATAGAAGAGATAAGGAAACTAAGCCAGCATAAACTGGTAAGTGATTTCATTAAATACGATTAAGGGGGGGGGGGGGTGTCGACTATAAATAAATATTATACAACATCACAAATACATTGCTCAATTCCCAAGATGACTAGCTAAAGCCCCCGCATTATAGAGTATCTGAGATAATGAAGGTACCACAACACCCAGACGTGTGACAGTATAGAAAAGTCCATTTTCCACATTGACCTTATCGACAGTCGAAACTGGGACCTCGGCGACATTTTGAAACCGGCGTGCGAAACACTCGGCTACAGAGGTAGTGTATGTCTTATTTCTTCTTGGAAGGGATAGGGAGTCTTGATAATAAGCCAGATGACTATTGTTTGTTTGTCTGTCCGTAGGACAGATTATTACAGAATATTATACACGTATTTTTCGCTTAATCAGTAAATTAAATCGCTACTTTGAGTTAAAATGTTGCATAACCTCAAACCTTTTTTATATTTTCTACATAGTTGTGACGTATCATGCCCCCACTCCTCAACTTTAATGCCTGTTTAAGCCATTTCTTGTTAAAAAGTCAAACTCATTAATATGATTGTTTGTTATCTTTTTTATAGTTCAACGACTTCAGTTATATTTTAAAGGTTCATCTGTATTAAGATTACATTTTAAATATTTAGCGTTGTCCCTCTCTCCCTCTTGTAAGAAAAAAAAAACAGCCCTCCCCCATTATCTTGCATAATAAATGGATAACGCTTATTATGTTTGTGTTTCACTTCTAGATGTACCAAGAAAGAAGAAGAACGTATCGACTATTTTGTTATATAATATTTATGTATACACATAGCAATATGTCAGGTTATCACAGTATCATGCATATTATTTTGAATTTAATTATCAGTGTTAAGATTGGAGATATTGAACAGCTTTAGATAGCCTGATGTGTTATACAAAACTGTATAATATCTCCATTCATTTTAAACTTTAATGCTTTGTTAATAGAGTTCTATATCAGTTAAAGAAATTTGTTATACTGTGGTAGCCTGATGTGCAGCGTGTACGCTGTGAGTTGTTTTCGTGCAAAGAAACAAAAGAAACAATAAACGAAAAAATTGTCTATGGTTTTAAGCCTGGCGTCGATTAGACTCTCTCCTTGGTTAATTTTTTTTTGCGACAATGAATGAGGGATCAAAGAGATGATGACTAACTTTTGATTGTCAGTCCGTCGGGTAGATTATTAAAATATAATAAACACGTGTTTTTTTTTGCTTAATCAATAAATAACGACAATACATTTAGTTGAAATGTAGCATTACGTCACACCTGATTACAGTTTATACTTAAGTGTGACGTACTCCTCAACTTTGATGTCTACTATTTAAGCCATTTTTGTTAAATTGAAACAACGTATATAATATTTTTCAATTATCTGACTGTCGAATTAAACGGAATAATTTAATATACCCAGGCTTCATCCGTATTAATGGTATGTTTATTTACTTGAAGACTTGATCCATTCAAGTCATAATTTCCTTTGCCTTTATGATGGATTTTTATTTTATTTTTTGCACGGAACAATGGAGCAGAATCTCCATACAGTTTTGTAAATGTATTTTCGACCAATTTGATATTTGGGTCACCAGCTTCATTGTATACTTGACCTAGACTTGATAATTGACAGATATTATAATAATAAAACATGAAGTATGTTGTAAATGAAAATTTATATGTAAACAATAACTCTGCACTATTTTTTCCTTTTAATATAAATTGTAATACATTAATCTGTGGATTACAAGAATCGGAAACCATGACGGAGCATTGTGTGATGTCTCATTCAATAAACGTCAACATCTCTGTTGCTAGTACAACCAGTACTCGTGTTTATTGAAATATGACGTCACAGCTCGAAATATCACGTGACTGATTTCGCGGGACAGTTTAATAAATAAAAATATTTTTGAAGAAAAATAAATCTGAATCTGGTTTAATTCGATTATGGGTATTTAAATACTATTCCCTTAACATTTAAGTAGTCAATTGGGTGAAAGATGATTACTAAATATTTTGATGCAGTTCTGAGAGTGGCCTAAGGTTCAAATTTGTCGACTGTATCATTTTGGAGATTGTTAGAATAGATAAATAATTTGTGGGTGGAAAATTGAAACATCATGTTTGCGTTTATAGATCTCGCTCTAATATAGAGGTAAAGAAAGAGACGACCAAATGTGTTTCGAGTGCACACGGTCGACTTTTGTTGGTTTTGAAGTGTATTTCGATTGAAATAAATAAAATTATTTGTTGTAAGCATTTGATTAATTTCGCGAAGTGGATATTCATGGAGCTTCCTATGTTTATGTCGAGTGGTCCCGGAAAAACGGAACTACCTTCATCTCGACGGTCAGAAGATATATGGAGGGGGGGGGGGGGATTGGGGCAGTTAGATGCGCTGGTTATTATTATCATTTAATTTTAAACTCAACTATATGATATGAATAAGCTTCAAAACCAACAAAAGGAATCGCCGTGTCTTTTGGTCTGATTTGGTAAATACTGTCGTGTTGCGCTATCTTAAATTTGTTCAGTATAAAAATAAAAGTAGATAATGCTATATATATATATATTGCCAGACAAACTTTGCGGTACAGAAAAAATCATATATGTATAAGGTAGTATTTGGAGAGAGTACAAGAAACTATTCAAATATCACTAAATGGCTTTACCATAGAATTATAATACAAGTAGAGTAATAAACAATTAGAAATGACACCGAAAAAAAAATTGCCTTTATTTATTTCTTTTATGCAGTTTCAATTTAATTTGGACGTAACTACCGATATAAGACTATTTTCTCAGCTATTTCAATTCTTAACAGATTGTCTAGTAGTTTATGTACACAGAAGTATTTGGATTCACAATATACATATTAAAATATCTAAATCCGTATGTTGATACAACATGGCAGTATATATCATTGTACGACGAAGGGTGATTTGTCTGTGATCAAGAAGGAAATGTGATTGTAGAATTTATAAGGGTAGATAACCGAAGTGCGACACCTTAGGCAGCACTTTCTATAATTGCTCGTTTGCATTGGTTACATGCATGCGCGGGCACACATAAATATCGGATAAGATAGGCAGGGTAGGGTAAGTGGGATAGGAATCCTATATCTTTAGTTACTTAGGCCACTGGTAACTTATGGCCAGAACGTCCTACCCTACTTTGTCGTCCTTATCCTATACCTACTAAAATACTGATAATGATATGGGCCCGAATGACATTGTCCCTATGTCATTCAGGCCCATATCGACCAATGAAAATGAGCCTAAACATTTTTCCTTGATTTTTAAAAAGAAAGTGTTGTCTATGGTGAATATTAGGGTAACGTGCAGTTTGGATGATTTTGAGTACAAAATTCGAAAGTAAAATAAAAGTCAGTTAACTTTAAATTTAAAAGAAGTTTTTATATAAACTTATTATTAACCAAATTGTAGTTCTCTTCTAGGCGTTAAGGGTTGATTCGTATTATCATTGTCTACGGTCGGTGTTATGGTTTTTTAAAGTTAGCGTTAGTCTATGGTTAAGGGAGTTTTAGTTGTTTCTATATTTAAAAAAAATTGTTTTACGGTGCTTTCATGTTATTTAGAATAATGTAGTCAAATAAAATTAAAAAAGGGAAATTTTATTTTATAAAAATGAAATATTATATATTATTAGTATAAATTTAGCATATAACGTATAATGTTTTGCGAAAATGACTAATTTGTTTAGTTATTATTGTTTCAATTTCGAATTTACCATACATTTAGTGTACTATTATGACGCTATATCAAGCCATTCGTACTTAGCTAGTCAGAAGTTGTTCGATAATTCCCTATATAGATCTAAATTGAAGAAGTTATCCATTTTACTGTCAAGGCTCGGATATCCATTTATTCTGTCATTCGTGGGATAAAGGTCTAATCTTAAAATCTATCGCAATTTCGCTTTTTAAATGATATAACGATGGTCATAGTAATTTAAAGATTAATATAAATTTTAGAGTCGCAGTCGGATGACGTTTTGAATGATCAACAAACATAATCTAAACTTATTTAAAACTGTCGGAAGATTGCAGTAAGCATTAAATTATTTTGTTTGACAAAATCTCAACAGCTTTCAAATACTTATCGCTTTGTTTAAACAATTCCAATTAACGTCAAATATAGTATCTTTTGAGAGAACATCGCGATCGCTCTCTAATTTACATTTCAAATAGTTACTGCATGAAGTTCGTGAATATCTTTCATATGCGAAATGAAAACGGATTGCGATAGACTTAAAATTAGATAATTAGCTCCCCAGTTAATGATGCCACACGTATGACCGGTTTTTTGAGTCGTTTGCAAGCCCTGACCTACGGTAAACTTCGGTCACTATACTGCAAGTGAAAGGTCAGTGAGAAGTTGGCAGTGGCGTAGCGTGCCTTGACGGGGTATAAAAATTTGTTTAGGAAATCTTCTCACAAAAGAAAAAAATGTTTGTATATACTGTGCGAATTTCAATCGTATGCACATCAATTATTGTGGGATTCCCCGGATTAAGCGGCAGCTACGCCCTTCGAACTTGGCTACTATATTTTGAAGATTGTGAAGATTGGTGACCATGACTATGCTAATAGCAATGTTGCCAATCGAAAACACTACACATATCATTAGCGTTTTTTATATTCAATGGTTAAATACGAACATATGTTTATAAATGAAAATCCTAATTAATTTGTGATATTCTTTTCGATTAAAGGTATTGGCGCCATTTTGTTATGTTTAAACATTTTTTAAACTGTTACCTACATAAAAAAAGCCTTGATTTCTCTTCTGTCAATGTCTAACGGCCGGTTTCTGAATTGTAAAGTACAAAATCTCAATTGATTATTCTCAATATACTTTCTAGTTTTACCAAACTGCTATCAACTGATCATTAAAAAAACTCAAATCAGAAACAAAAACTGTTCAAATACAGTTTGAGGCGTGCTTAACTTTAAATTCTCAATTCAGAAACCGTTTTAGATTAAAATTAAATTATATGTATTTTATACAGGGTTATGGGAAATTAGACCGGATTCTTTTAAGGGGTAGTAGGGGAGGTCATTTACAATTATTTTCACCTCACATTTTGTATCCGCAAGTGAGCCATTTTCGTGATAAATTGTATGTATCTTTTTCTTTAAAAAAGTCGAAAAAAGAATAAATTCTGGCTAGAATCTAATTTTGTTTACAGTTTTGGAGACATAACATTCCAGCTCGTGATACATAAAAATAAAACCTAAATAATCTTGAATAAAATAGAAACTACAAAGATTTAAATTTAAAAAAAATATTTGTTTTTGTTGTAAATTTGCAAACAAAAGTGTATTTAAAAAATAACTTTCGGATATACAATGTGGGGTGAAAAGGATCCGGTCCAATTACCCAGAGCCCTGTATAAACAAATAAAGCTAAAATCCTATTTAAGTTTTGTTCATTGTGAATGAATTAATGATCTCTGCAGTGTCATTTTTCTTTTGCATATAACATAAAATAATAATAGATTACTATATAGGTATACTAAAAAGCCTAGGTGTATTATGAATCTTTAATAAAAATTAAATTTAGTTTTAACATATTTCTTTAACGAAATCAGCAGGTTACTAATGTTTATGTAATAATACCATCTCTATGGAATCTCAACTATTTGCATTTTCCCATTGTACTAGCTACCTAAAATACAATTTATATATCTGTCACCATTGATGTGTGAAGAAAACATTGCACTCATAATATTGGACTTCAGGTAGATAATGCAAAGGTAAAATGTAACTCATTAAGATTTTATTGAGGTGCGATTATTAAGTAAATATTAGCAGAATTGTCTTAAAGGAATCATACAGTTATTTTAATTTCAAGCAAATTTCAGATTACTGATAAAAGTATTAGTGCTCATAACGTTATGTACGTCACACGCTATCCCTTTCTTATAACGAGACGGCATGTGACGTCACGTGGTTCTACCGTAAGTTGTGTATAAAAAATTTGTGCGAAAATTTCCATTCGTGTATCT